TGCAATACTTGCCAAATAAGACTGACAAACACCTTTCGTTTTTGTCGTGCTCAATCAAGTTTACAATCAATTGCCTTTGAATTTGCTCCCCCTGCACACAAATAAGCACGAGCTGTTCAGTTGCACTTACCTATGAGCATAACTTAGAAGTAACATAAAGAAGGTGTTTTTCAACCAGTTTGCGTATAAACCGGTCCCCATACGACTTGTGAATTCTTTACCATTACAAAACGGAAAACAAAAAGGTTTTCAAACCTGCCTAGACAGCCAATTCTGATATTCTGATATTTTGAAGAGAAAAGTCAAGGTCGCATACTGCCCCTGATAATCTGTCACCAAATAACAACTGGTAAAAGTTCCAAGCACATTGATCTACATATTTAATTGCACATGGGCGGGTAAAAGGGTTGCAATTAGTGTGAAGGCTTATTATTATTTATATTTTATTCGCATTGGACACGAAACGCAGGTTTCGAAACTACATAATTTTGTCGAAAATACATTATCGTTATTACGATTTCAATTATATTTCTAAAAACGTTTATATAAACTGTAATAAACTATTTCCTGTGTACTCTTTCAAATACATTCAAACTTGGGAGAACCGTCAAAATCCAAGGCTGGAACTGAAACCAAAATTTCCGAAAGACCTAATCCTTATCTGTCATACCGTGTTATTATAGGTAATGCTTGTTTTTGTGATGCGGTGATTCATTGAATTTTAATATAATTGAAATTTTGTAATTTTACTTTTTCTGTAAAGATATTCATTGGGGAAATGATGATTTGAACATTTTACATGGTGCCTTTTTATAGAATTACCACCGTATCTAAGTTAAGAAAGGTTTGAATGACAATGTGCACCATACCCAGTCTTGTGACGTCAACCAATTGGACAGTGTTTTCATGTGAGTTCGAACTTGAAAGGATGAACAGTTAAAATTAAGGAGCAAATAAAGTTTTCAGGCATTCCAGCAATAATAGCAAGAACTCTGTCATGTTTAATACAAAACTACATATTATTTTAGATTTTTAATTTATCAGTCATGTTGAAAAATTATGTAGACGCAGCCTTAATAATTTTTGCAGTATATACAACCCTTATTTAAATGGAAAAGGGAATATTTTTAGAAGAGATTAGATTTAGGAAAGAAAGGTTTTGGTTTTTTTACATAAAGATGTAGAACCTTTCCCAAATACATTCCATGTTAATAGAATCATTAGATCATTTATATGATGAAACTTGAAGTGTGAAATAAACCCAAAAATTGTTTTTGAAAATGGCCTTCTAGTAGGGGGTTCCTAGACATCAACAAAAAATAATGTTAGAATTGGGAGTTAAAAGTTCTGCTTTCTCTGGATTACGTTGCGGAAAACTACTCTTTCCTCTTTGAAGAAAAAAGGTTTTGGCTTTATACTTCATCATCATGATACAAAAAAAAGTGGTGAACATCGGATGTTTAGCAGCGAGGATGACAGTGTTCCACATGAGTGAAATTTCACCTCTTTCATATATTATATTGTGTAGTTTTCCTGTGAATGATATCTTATTCAATTCCATAACGAATGTGGAATACAAACTGAATAGAGAAAAGTGTTTTTTGTATAATTCAGTGTTCATATGAAAGCATTTGTTTCAGAAGTATTTTTCTTTCGTGGAATTCAATGCATATATGGAAGTGGCTGTTTCGAGAGGGCTTTTCTTCCAGTTTGTGTCTGAAAGTTATTTCTTTGCATGATCTACACTTCTATGTATAGAGTTACCTTTTTGAAACTGATTGCTTCTTTCCTTTTGGAAGATTCCCACTTTTTTTTATGAAGATGGAGAAGTGGAAAAATCAATCCCTCCTGATAATATACCTTTTTCAATTTTTCTCTTTCCCCTCTCAAATTTATGAATTTCGAAGAAATCATATCATAAAATTGGTTCACTTCAGATATGTCAGTTCAGAATTTTTGTTATATACGAGATGTTATGAATTTTACTAACCGTTTTTGTCTAGATTTGGGACTTCAAGAAAAAATCAAGATCTCGAGAAAAAGGCCGAGATTTCGAGAACAAAGACGCAGCAGCCAGAATAATAATAAAATACAAAATATATCATGTTCAATATAGTCAAATTATATCAGGAGAACAAATTTTCATTCAAATAGGTCGAAATATTTGTTTAAATGGCGGAAGTATAGAGCAGATAACTATTCAAAGAAATTTTCGTAAAATTTCGTTATCGGCAAACATCTCGCGAAGCCCCTTCGAGAAAAAACTTGGCGCCGCTCATAGACCTAGACTTCGATGGCAGAGGCCATTGACTATTACTATGTTTATCTATTCACACATATGAGGCGGTAGCGGCAAAAGCGAAAACTGGGACTGGAGAATCCGATGTTTTTTGTGTTTTTGGGTCAATCCGATGACTTGATGGATGTGATACGGCGATAGTATACGAGTAGGTAGAGGTAAAAGTTTCTCGCCAACCGGAAATTCTCGATGGCATTGATCGAATAGGTGAAATTGAAAGGTAGAATCCGAAAGAAGAGGTCGTAGAAACTACGCGATAAATATAGATATCATATACGAGTGCAAAGTTCATAAAATAAATGTCGTTTTGTTTGCAGTTATTCGAAAACCGACATTTTTTTAATACTTCTAAATTTTTTATTATTTCGAAGATGCTACTAATGATACCTTCTTGAAAAAGTAATCAAATGTTAGGTTAGCTTGTCAATTTTTCAATTTCAATTCTTTATTTATCCATTCGAGCAAATACAGCTATAGGACAAGTCAAAAAACTGCAATCCTTGTTATGTACATGCATAACAAGGATTGCAGACAAAATAAAATTAACATAGGATAGTGAAATAATACATGTTTACAGGTTGTTCTTTAAAAACCTAATTCATAATAATCTTCTAGGGAGTAGGGACACAAATCAATTAGTATCTTTTTCACTTGAATAAGAAATTTCCGGTTTGAAAAGGATCTATTTGCCTTTCTGTCTAGTATCATGACTGTGTAGTTCATCTACACGCAGATGTAGATGATCAAATGAAATTCATAATGAACTAAAAGAAACATATTACTATTTGCAAAAAACTGTATCGGAATTTTGAAACTACTTTTGGAAATTACTCTCAGTAAATATTCTATATAAAACTCTCCTTGGTGCATAGGTTAGGTTAGATTAGGTCCAAAGTGAGTGGGTCTATTCGACCCTCCACCGCAACCCGCAAGGGTTTATTGTGGCTCACACATATTCACAATCGACCAAATAAACCCAGCTTCTTAACGAAGCCGATTAGTTTGTATGGAGAGTGGTCTTTCATGTCAGACTGGTACGGCTCTACCGAACCCTAAAATCCCGATTTGGTCCCCAGCGGGGCAGGCACAAAGTATGTGCTCGGTTGTTTCATCGTAAATGAGGTAGTCGAATATTCAAGGTGCAGTATTCCCATCTTGATACCCGCGACAACCTTCCCATATGAGGGTTTTTGTACGTCAGCTACACCTGACGATGCCTTAGATTCAACCGTGCAGGGCTTTTTCGCCTCGAGTTTTGGTGAATCATCACTTGAGCGCAAACGTTTGCTAACCTGCTCATGGGGGGGGTTTGTTCCTCCACCTGAGACAGATTCCCGCTCTTGAGGAGACGACTTAGTCGTTTCCTGACTGCACCACCAAACCTTTTTTTTTTTTAGGTTCAGGTATTGGATCAGGAGTTGAGGAGTTGAGAAGCTCTCACTCTTGAACTAAATTTACAGGGAGGTCAGTTGGAGTCGTAAACACGACATCCATCTCCTCTATAGACTCAGCGGCAGAAAGAATTTTTAAGTTTACTCTGTTCATAAAAGTCCCACGAGTAGGTAGGGAAAGAAGGTCAATCACGGCATAGCCCCGCATTACCGTGGCAAGGCGATGCTACAACGAGAGGGCGGCCGGTATCTCGAAGGTTCCGTAGTGACAGCTGATAGGCTCAGTGTCATTCATCCTCTCGGCAAGGATACGCACACCTTAGGATTAAGCCATCGTTGGGATGCAATTCGGTTAGGGAATAACAGAACCACAAGTGATTCTGTTATTCACGTATCCAGCGGGACTGCGTGGAAGCAGGCATCCAATGGCCGGTTTGCTCAACTCCCACATCCCAAGCCAATGCACTCCTTGGTGCATAGAGGAAGAATGAAAAAGTTAGAGGCTAGGCCACTTTTACAGAGGTCTCCAGCGATTATATTCATCCAATTGACTATAGTAGAAATCCATAATAGTAGGCACTAAATTCTCAAAAATATTATTGCATTGAAACGAAAACTTTGTGTCAAGGTTGTGATTCTATATGTTTTATCAACATTTCTCTTCATTTGTTTAGTATAATTTCTGTACGCCACTGCAAAAGGCAGATTAAGGCAAATATGTCAGTCATTTCTGAGAATGTAGTACCGACTATATAGTTTGGAATTATAGTGTAGTTTTCACAGGAAAGTAATAATTATGAGTCATTTCACATGAATCATGAAAATTGGATTTTAAAACTGACTTTTTTTGGGTTTACATTATAGTTTTCTTGTGCCAGCGTTTTTTTACAACCCTAGAAGCACCACTTTTTGGTATGTCCTTGAACTCTCATAGCGATTCGGCTTGTATCTCCTCAATCGTCTCAAAATACCTTTTTTTCATAGGTCTCTTCAATCTTGGGAAGAGGAAAAAGTCGCAGAGGAACAAATCTGGTGAATATGGTGGCTGAAGTATGCATGATAACCAACAAATTAAAAATAGTTAATCCATTTTACTGTACATTTCTCCAGTCGCTAACATTATCCACTTTATATATATTTTTTCCTACTACCTGGATTTTTTTTGACACGTGCCGTCAACCTGTACAAAATTGTCTGAAATGTGGAAAGTAAACTGACAGTAATGACACTGCGAATATTTTCTAGTAGAGCTACACAAGTAAACCTCTCGAGGCAACTTCATTGAAATATTCATATCGTTTTTTTTCCAGGTCGTGAAGATCTATCCCCTCCCAGCAGTTTGAACGGTTTCAGCGCGGATAGCTGCGATGCCAAGAAAAAGAAAGGACCCACACCCCGACAGCAAGAAGAATTATGTCTCGTATGCGGAGACAGGGCTTCTGGGTACCACTATAATGCTCTCACATGCGAAGGATGTAAAGGTGAGAATATTCATCTATTTTTGAAACTTACTTCATATATTTACATAAAAAAAACAACCACCCTCAAAAGTCGAAACTTGGGCGAGTTGAAGATCAACGAGGTCTTACCTTCGACCGTGCAATTCACATCATGGGCTGATACCGCGACGGACATTGAAATCACATTCGACAGACATTTGTTTCCACACATAGGAGTTAGCAAGAGGTCTGGGGAGTATGGTGGTTGAAGCAGAACTTTGACGCCCAACGGGCGGTGATTTGTGAATCGCGCCGGATCGGAATCTGTTGACCAGTGCCGGCTGCGGCTGATGCAATTTCTGGTACATTCAGTCAATTAACTCACAATAGAAACTGCTGTAAGAGTTTGGCCCGGTTGCAGAAAGTTATAGTAAATTCCACCAGCTGCTGACCACTGTACACTAACTAACCATGGTCTTTTTTTGGTGGGTTTTCGTCTTTGGGAAGTATATGGGTGGCTCATCGGTATCCAACCACTGTCCTGAACGTCTCCTATTGTCGTAGACTTCGTAGAGGATCCACTTTTCATTACACGTGACGATCCGATGTAAAAAAAAGATCGTTTTGGTTGCGCAAAACCAAAGAAAAACCAACCCAGAAACGTGAAAAATTCTTTCGATCGTTCAAATCGTGGGACACCCACTTTAATAGCTGTTTGAGCTTTCCAATATGTTTCAAACCATCAAAAACCGCATGGAAACTTACACCCAGCTCTTTCGCAAATCCCGCGCACCGGTTGTGATGGATCAATCCCAACCAGGGTCCTCAAATTATCCTCCTAAATGACAGTAATATGACTTTCGGAAACAAAGATCAACAGGCGACCTTTTATCGTATGTAACCCATATTTGGAATAACGCAATCGAGAAACATGGAGAATCAAGAGCTGTTGCGCTTGATATTTCTAAGGCCTTTGACCGTGTATGGTCAAACAAGAGTCCAATATATTGCTTTGCTGACGACAGCACACTTGTCTCGTCATTCCAGGACATCGGCTACGGAGGCCCATCTTCACCCGCAGCAGGAGGTGGCATATTTTAATGAGGGCCCAGAGGTGATTTCAAATTGGGGTGAAAGTAACCAGCTTCAATTCAATGCCACAAAAACCCAGGCATCACTTTTCCCCAAGAAGATAAATGTCTCCGAACCGGATATAATAATGTCAGGTCAGACAATTCTGCTTTCTGCTTCGCTAAGATTGTTAGGGGTTAAAATGGACACCAATATGTCTTAGCACAATCACGTCGCTGGAATTGCAGAGGCTGCTTTCCAAAATCTTGGAACACTGTTCCGAACTAGAGAACTGTAGACAACTCAGCAACTTTTGATGCTTTATAAAGCTCAGATCAGACCTTCTTAGGAGTATTGTTCTCATGTATGGAGATCCGCCCCCAAACATACCCTGAAGTTGCTGAATTCCATCCAGAAAAGAGCCATCCACCTGATCGGAAACGCTAACATCACATGCAACCTTGATAGCCTGGAACATCGAAGAAAGGTTGGAGATTTGTATCTGTTCTATAGATCCTTTCAAATGAGTTGGCACATTTCATTCCACCAAGAGCAGTACATAGCAGAAATACGTGACGGACTGTGGCTGCTCATCCTTTTGAGGTTCAACTCAGTAAACCTCGAACTTCACTGTTCAAAAACTCTTTCATTTGGAGAACTGCGTTTATGTGGAATAAACTTCCTAATAACGTTTTTCCAAATAAATTCAATCTTCAGCGATTCAAATCCAATGTAAATCGCTACTTTCGCACAAGCATCGATCTGAGAGCGCAGTTGAGGATTTTCCTGTAGTGCTTGTGTTTTGTCCTTAAAAAAAATCCGGGGCTCCTCTTCGAGGCTAAAATCTACGGAACGAAATTTGGCAAACCAACGTCTAACAGTGCGTTCATCAGCACTCTCATTGCCAAATACCGGGTTAATTTTTTTGCTGTTTCGTCAGCGTTTTGGTTCAGCAGCGACATCATTTAGTAGTAATCTGAAAATAGGCAAAAAATTAAAATTTGGAAAAAATGAACAGCATCAATGCATAAAGCACAGCATTCTCTATCGATCAGTACATATCACGACACGGCAGAATAAATATTTCTTGAGATATGGAGCTACAAAAACAAAAACAATTGGGGAATGTTCCTCCTGACGAAAATCAAGTAGTTTTCATAAAAGAGCTCTAAAACAACGCATTATAAACTTATCATTTCAACCTTTCTCTTTAAAAAATTATTTAAATACTTTGAAAAAAAATGAAATACTGCATTCAACATTTAAAGGGATTCGTTTCTATTTCACTATTTGGCAACATCGGTTATAGCTAATAAAGGACAATGAATATGTTACCTGGATGAAACAAACAAAGATGACATATTTCAGAGGCGTGCTATTCTGTTTACTTATGTTCCGAGTTCCGAGACATTCTGTGACATTTTGTGCATCTAACCTATCTTCCTCTATATAAATAAATAACAAAACAACTGTTGTTTATGTGGCTTGTGGAGGTGGTATTGAACTATAATTTATATTTTGCCTTAATTGTTCATTTATAAAGATAATTTTCCTTTATTAAAGTAGAATATCTAGGTACGTATAAATTATTTCAACTTGATATAGGCGCTGTTGTCAATATGTGAATTAGAAACAAATCCCTTCAAAAATAAAATCAAAACCCAACATTTGAAACATCAACTTGAATACTTTTCGAAGTGAATTTGAAAAACTCATGAATTAAGCTCAACTTTATTTTGTTCAAACTTGCATTTGCTGTAATAACCCAAATTAAGGAACATTCCCCATTGAAGATCTAGTTAAAAAAGTTCTGGTCAGAAAATTACTATTTATACCAAAAAAAAGTTTCCATGTGCTTTGTTAACAAAAATCATAAATAAATCTATATAAACTCTTGGTCAATATAAATCATTGAAAGCAATAAAAAACTGTGTTCTGACCTATCAGCCTTGAACTGAATTTTACAGAGAAAACAACACACTACTATCTTACGCTGTGCTTGTTGCCTACACAAATGTGAATATCCAAGTGACACATAAATTCATTCAACCTAGTACCGATTGTGAATGAAATTAGAAATTGTTTCAATAAATTTTGAATAAATTACCTCGTCGCAAAGAAAGTGAGTAGGTAGTTCGTTCTTGGGTATGTATCACTCTATTTATATACGACTTTTCGTCCAGTTATTTATCAGATCGTGAACAGAGTGTTGAGATTGATGGTGTCTTGAGTGTTCCCAGAACTATGACCTATGGTGGTCCTCAAGGCACTGTGCTGGAGCCACTTCTTTTCACTATCTATATGAATAGTCTACTTTCTTTAAATACCACTGGTCAAACTATCAGTTTCGCCGATGATACTGCCATTTTGTACACTTCTTCAACTTGACAAAATATGAAACAAACCGTTGAAGATGATTTTCCTAAAATTTCGGAATGGTTCCAATTCAATAGAGTAACTGTTAATAACCAAAAAACTTGGTACTTACCGTTTACATCTTATATTAGCGGATTACCGAACTTGGGTCCCCTTAAAGTAGGCTTGAATAAACAAATCCCTTCAGCAACATCGGTAAAATACCTTGGTGTCACGATAGATCGACATATGAAGTGTGATTAACATATGAAACAACTTGTCAAAAAGTTAAGAGGGTTTGTTCCGAAATTTAGATATCTCAAAGAATTTATAGATATCAGACAATTAAAAATGATCTAAAAGAACAATTCGTTCATGCCAATCTCAACTCCCTACACTGTAGGTTAATGGGCTGACCCCAATCAGAAAACAACTACTCCCCTGGCTAATACCACGAAGGGCGTTGGATTATATCCGACAGGTGTCAGTGCAGGATTCTTCACTGAAGTTATTCCTGCATATGCTGTTGGCGATACAACTGCAGCAATAGATTTTCAATTATTGGAACACAATTGCAGACCGGTTTCGGGCTGTTTGGCCAACATTCGTTGTGGAATGTTTGAAATAAAAACTGAGTAGAGAAAAGTATCTTCTGTATAATTCAGTGTTCATATAGAAGTACCTATTTGTTTCGAAAGATTTTTTTTCCTTTCGTGTAATTCAATGTTTATATGAAAGTAGCTGTTTCAGGAGGATATTCTTTCAGTTTGTGTCTGAAAGTTACTTCTTTGCATGATCTACACTTCCTTCCTTTCTTTGGAAGATTCCCTCATCCTCCTTTTTTGATTTAAGATGGAGTAGTAGAAAGCCAAAAACTTTCTTTCCCAAATTATTTTTAAAGGTTATGTTGAAATTCGATGCCAAACTTCAGTTGAAGTATCAGCTGTTCCAATCAGAAATTTCAAATTAATCAGAAACCAATATTTACCAGACATGCGCGTTGACAACGATTTACAAACAGTTGGAAATCTGTGACTCAAGGTTGGAACGAACCTACTATATCACGTGCAGGCAGTTTGAACTGCATCTATGATTTTTCTGTTCATTTGTTCTTTTGCATGTGTAACATTGTTTTGTAAGATTTTATTTTATTTCGCAAATAAACATTATTATTATTATGTAATGTTCAAAGTAACCTGTCTTATATATTTGAGAACAGGTAATTTTAATATTCGTTTGATGAATTTGGTCGTGATCAGTATATTTATGGGAATGTTCTATGCGTAAAACGTTTCTCTTTTTCAGGTTTCTTCAGGCGAAGTGTAACGAAAAACGCAGTCTATAAATGCAAATATGGAGCCAACTGCGAGATTGATATGTACATGAGACGGAAATGTCAAGAGTGTCGTTTGAAAAAGTGTCTGGCCGTAGGAATGAGGGCAGAGTGTGTGGTGCCTGAGGTGCAATGCGCTGTCAAACGGAACGAAAAAAAGAAACAGAAGGAAAAAGACAAGCCCAATAGCACTACGAATGGATCTCCGGAAGTGATAAAAATAGAACCAGAGGTAACTATATTCTACTTAGTCAGATATTTAGTTGTTGGTGGGGTCATATTTCAAACAATATATTTGTTTTCCATATCTTGCACAATGGAATATCTGGATTTACAATTTTTATGTTTTCTCACAATATCCCTTTCAGCTTATACAGTGTGACTCATTCAAAATGAAAACAACATACAAAACATCAAATTCCATGAAAAAGTTTTCGTTTTATTTGATGTGAAAATAGAAAAAATATTTGTGAAACTAATTCAATTTTATAACTGTCCTCAAAATTCTGACTAGGTATTCCACTAAATTCAGCTGGTTTCATCGTTAAAAAAGTTATAGATGAATTTTGAAAGGTAATTGAAATGGCCTACAATTATTGCATCAAACATTCCTTACTTGAAACTTTTTTATTATTCAACAGATATCGACGAAAATCTATCTGGACATGGATGAACCGAAACCTGCTGAATCTACTGTTGTGAGAATTTTTATTGAAAGTTCTAAGATTGAATAGGTGATATAATTAGAAAATGGCATATTTGACAAAATGGGTCAGACTTTCGCGGCTGAGGTTTTCAGTGTCATTGTTTTTCGAGTTTGAAAGCCGTGGATTTTTGGAATTTCTTCCTGACGATTCGCTGGCGCGACTGGCTAGCTTCTTCATAGGTTTAACCATCATGGCTTGCTGTCCGATGACTAACTTTTAGGCTTCGTAAAGCGTATTTATGCCTTGTCAGGTAATCAGTTGCATTTGTACCCGTATTTGTCCCTGCACTTGTACCTGTAATTGAACCTGGAACATTAACAATCTTGCTGCCTGTTGTCATTCTGTTCGTTATTCTCGAATTCCTTAAAATGGGGTTCCTTATTCGGTTGAGGTTCACCGCTCTCTTTTGACTAGCCAAAAGAGAGGATTCGTCTCCACTGTAACGGAACGGGCTCGGAGAATATGTGAACCAGAACCTCTGGAGAGGGAACTGAAACACCTTGAAGTGATCTTGGGATCGAATGGATACAGTGCCTCCGAGATCAGGATAGCCATGAAACCGAAGAGCACCACGTTTCAAAAAGCGAAAAAGGATCAGATGGTTACACGCGCATATCTACCGTTTATCCTTAGGGTCACGGACAAAATTGGAAAGCTATTGGATAAACACGACATCGAAACAGTCTTCAAACCCATGAGGAAGATACAACAAAGCCTCAATTCGGCTAAAGACAAAAGATACCCATTATCAGCAGCAGAGGTCTATCGCATACCGTGCACTTGTGGGAAGGTATATATCGGAACTACCAAACGATCCATGGGAACAAGACTGAAAGAGCATAAAAGGAACTGCAGACTAGGCCAAGCGGACAAGTCAGCTGTGGCAGAACACGCTCTTAGTGAAGGAGACCACATAATTTTGTTTCAAAACACAGAACTAATTGCCCCCAACCAGGGATACTATAGCCGACTGGTACGGGAGGCAATAGAGATCCACAAACACACGAAGAATTTTAACAGAAAAGAAGAAGCGGTGGATCTCAATCGAATATGGAAACTCATTTTAAAGAATTCGAAAATAATGAACAAAATGACAACAGGCAGCAAGATTGTTAATGTTCCAAGTTCGAGTACAGGTACAGGTACAGGTACAAGTACAGGTACAGATACAGGTACCAACCCAACTGATTACCGGACAAGGCATAAATATGCTTTACGAACCCTGAAAGTTAGTCATCGGACAGCAAGCCATGGTGGTTAAACCTCTGAAGAAGCTAGCCACTCGCGCCAGCGAAACGTCTGGAAGAAATTCCAAAAATCCACGGCTTTCAAACTTGAAAAACGATGACACTGAATGGCATATTTGTTCGAATTTTTAGTTGTAACTTCTTTAATGTCGAGGGCAAAATACTTGAATCCAGTGGTGTGATCAGATATTTTCAATTCACTAATTTGTTTTTGAATCAAAATAAAAGTTGTCCTCGAAAAACAAGATTCACTCAGTCATGAAATTTGATGTTATAGTAGATTTTTCGAATTGACTAATGAAAAAACATCTAATCCGACAAAATATGTTTTCTAAGGGTACTTCCATTTCAAATGGGTCACACTGTCTAATGAACTATATTGTTTTTTGTATGACCTCCAATGTACATCTTTCGCAAGTGAATCAAACAAGAAGGCAAAAAAATCATATCTCTAGAAAAATTTGCGCAAAATGTTATGGTATTTATTTTATCTGACCAGTTGCAGTATTGCTGGTGAGAATGGTATTTACAACAAATTTCAATGATAGAAATTGTTGTTATGATCCATTAGTTCAAATGAAATCTAATTTATCTTCGTATCTATCTTCACCTGCAGCAGGAGGTTGCATATCTTAATGAGGTTCTAGAGGTGATTTCGAATTGGAGTGAAAGTAACCAAGTTCAATTAAATGCCACAAAAACCCAGGCATCGGTTTTCTCCAAAGAGATAAAAATCTCCGAACCGGATATAATAATGTCAGGACAGACAAACTTCGATAAGTTTGTTGGGGGTTAAAATGGACACCAATATGTCTTGGCGCAATCGTGTCGCTGGAATTGCGAAGGTTGCTTCTCAAAAGCTTGGAACACTGTTCCAAACCAGAAAACTGTACACACCTCAGCAACTTTTGATGCTTCATAAAGAAGTCTTTGCTTCATGAGACCTTTGGAGTATTGTTCTCATGTATGGAGCTACGCCCCTGAACATACCTTGAAGCTGCTGGATTCAATCCAGGAAAGATTGGAGACCACATGCAACCTTGACAGTCTGGAATATTCAAGAAAGGTCGGAGATGTGTCTCTCTTTCATATATACTTTTAAGGGAGGTGTTCAAGTGACTTGGCTCATCGTTTTGAGGTTCAATTCAGTACACCTTGAACTTCGGAGAACTGCGTTTATGTGGAATAAACTTCCTGAGAATGTTTAAAAAAAAAAATAGTCTCCAGCGATTCAAATCCAATGTGAATGGCTAGTTTTGTCCTGAAAAAAAAATGCCTGAACGGATTTAAACGATTCTCTTGCTTTCAAAAAGCTACATCATCTGTTTCCCCTGTTCTGGTTTGAATTCAACCCAACGTTTTGGTTTATTATTCAACCATAAACAGGGGTGCTTAGTTCGTTTTGGCTATTGTTGAAAAATAATATGTTATGCACATTGAATATCTTTTCTGTCTTCTATTTAATGCACCAATTTACTTTCTGGCTATGGACCATAGCCAAAATGAACTAAGCACCCATGATTATGGTTTAATAATTAAATTTAAACAGTTTTGACTGATCTCTCACCACCAGTTCCATAAAATTGTATCAATATTTATTTGCGATTGATGTACGTATTAGATTTTTTTTGTTGTTTTCAATAAAGATCAATTATTAACGTTCCTCTGTAGACGCTTTTCTTTCAGCTCTCCGAAAATGAGAAAACCATATTCAACGGAGTCAAGCCTATATCACCCGAACAAGAAGAACTCATTCATCGTCTCGTGTATTTCCAGAATGAATATGAACACCCTGCCGAGGAAGACGTTAAACGAATCATGGTAAGTAGAGAAAAAATAGTTTTTTAAAACAATATCAATCCAAGAAAACCAAATCTTGAACACTAAGTAATGTAAAAAGACACACATAATATGTGGATGTTTTATAATGTTTGTATTGTGGTAAATCATGCCCTAAAGAAAATAACGCCGGCCGCCACTGGTAGCCATAAACCAATCGTAACGTAGCTAAGAGCGCGCGAATATACGATGTTCGCTGCCGCTCTAGACACAGCGAGAATAATGCTACCGTTTTCGAAGGAATTCCGGCGAAAGTTTCTGGCGCATTCGATTACGATATATAAACGCTAGCCACGAGCATATCGACACAGTCCATCGGAAATTACAGTGCGGTACGCGAAGCGATCTAGTAAGGCGATAGACATTCGAATAGTAGTTGAAGTTTTAGTTGAAGTGTTTGTTGTATTTAAAGTGAAATAAAGTTAAGTTTGATTATTGTTCAGGGTAATCAATTATTGGTCAACCCACGGGGAAACACGTAACTGTATACTCGTACTGTTGAAATAATATAACCCAATAAGACTGTTAGTTACTTAAAAGCAATATATGAAATTATCTTAATGCAGGAGATTATTGCATGACTGATTTTTTGGCACAGTAACATAGTGAATGTATGTACTAGTTTCGACGACCATAATGCGTTTTAATGAATGATTACGCCTGAAAATGTTTTAACTTTGTTTAAAGAAATGTTTTAAAAGTTATCTTTGAAATATTAAATGTGTTATCAGTGATTTTTTTGCCAGTTCAGTTCTTTGATAAATAGAAAACGTGGCGTCATTTTTAGATTACATTTTGAAGATATGAAACTGTGCGTCGAAATTCTCAGAACAGCTGAACAAGATTAGTTCCGAAAATATCGAGATGAATATAATTTATGGTACGGATTCCTTAAAATGATTATTAATGATTTTGACTTCGTTAATCATAGCATTCTTATACTAATCGACGGCGATAAAGAATATTTATTAACGAATGAGGGATATTCTATGTGGTTTATTGAACAACTTGTATACTTTTAGTAACATTTCAGTTTTTTTTGTTTTTCAAAACTTCGAAAATAATCAGTAAAAGGTTATAAAATAAGTAATTATCAAAATTACCTGTTTTTAAAAATGTTATGTTTTATATGAACTACGACTATTAACTCTTTTTATTTTATTTTCCGTATCCATTATTCAGTATCAGGTGTTTTCCAAAAATATAATAAATAAGGAAAATCGGCTAAATTAGAGAAAGTTGCCCATTTTAGAGCCTATTTGAATGACGTTTCAAAATTTAGAAAAAGCCGTGAGTATTCAAAAAGAACCGAAATTCGCCAATTTTGTTTTAATTTCGTTCTGTCATAATTGAAGTAAATATCAAAAAACACAAATCACTTTCTCATTGCCTATTTTCAAGCTACACAAGAGGGTGTTCGGAATTTTAATTCGACGTTTTGTCTTCTAGAAACCATCACCAATTTTAATGTTTTATATGATTCGAAAGAATCACCCGGTGATTCACTCATGTGTCACCGTAATCGTTCGATTACTAATTTTTAAAACCTTATATAAATATGCTTTAAAAATGTGAAATTGTCAATTTTGTCAAATTATCTTTGTAAATAATTCTTGAATCTTGTCAAGCGATTATTATGATACAAAACTGTCATTAGTCTTTGGATTTGTGTGTTATTTTTTCAAACTCATCTTCAACACATGAAAAATTCATCAAATTTTCGTATTATAAAATGTATTTTTAAAATTTATATGATGGAATTCATATCATCGTTCATTGGAGATTGAGATGAATTGTATTGTTACGGTTTTCCCCGTGGGTTTACCAATAATTGACTACACTGAACAATAATCAAACTTAACTTTATTTCACTTAGAATACAACAAATACTTCAACTAAAACTATTATTCGAATGTCTATCGCCGTACCAGATCGCTTCCCGTACCGCACTGTAACTTCCACTTGACTGGGTCGATATGCTCGTGGCTAGCGTTTATATATTGTTATCGAATGCGCTAGAAAATTTCGTCGGAATTCCACCGAAATCGGTAGAATTATTCTCGCTACATCTAGAGCGGCAGCGCTCTTTGCTACGTCACGATAGGTTTTTGGCTACCAGTGGCGGCCGGTATTACTTTTTTCTGGGCATAATTTACAACAGTATGTAAATTTGAAAACATGAAAGGAAAAAATATAAGACCCCGTGGGTTTACCAATAATTGACTACACTGAACAATAATCAAACTTAACTTTATTTCACTTAAAATACAACAAATACTTCAACTAAAACTATTATTCGAATGTCTATCGCCGTACTAGATCGCTTCCCGTACCGCACTGTAACTTCCACTTGACTGGGTCGATATGCTCGTGGCTAGCGTTTATATATCGTTATCGAATGCGCTAGAAAATTTCGTCGGAATTCCACCGAAATCGTTAGAATTATTCTCGCTACATCTAGAGCGGCAGCGCTCTTTGCTACGTCACGATTGGTTTTTGGCTACCAGTGGCGGCCGGTATTACTTTTTTCTGGGCATAATTTACAACAGTATGTAAATTTGAAAACATGAAAGGAAAAAATATAAGCAAAAGCATGATTTTAATTATCTATTTTTGTATCCTTTCAATAAATAATCCTGTTGGATTCAAAAAGATCGTTTCAAGAGGCCCAGCTAGTTTCTTTGAAGTTTAGCTATTTACCTACCATAATGAGTTCATGTAAAAAACATATAAGTATTTATGTCAGTGCCCATATTTTGTAATTTTCAAAAAAATATTTATCCTTTGTTGAAGGCGAAAAAAAAACAACGCGGATTACACAAGGTTGCTTCAATGGAAATTCTATCTCTTGTAGTTTCCGAGATATTTTTTTAAGTAAATATATCATTCTATGAGTTGAAGGACACATTCCATTTATGATCTTTCGATAAATTGTATTCTCTTAATCAAACTTCACATACAGATGAACTCACATGGCTTGTTGTACTGCTCTCATCCCACTTGAAGACGAGAAATAATTCTAACGTATCACAATTATAATGCAATTATCAATTCACATTTATTTAATGGAATAAGATCATATAGTCATTCACCACACCCATTCGAATTATTCTCTAATAGCGAATTAAAATTCAAAAACTTTGTACACTGCTATTATTATGTCAATACTTTCAACCAAGCTTGAGGCGAAACAAGAATCTGTGTTTGTGTCGATCATTATTATTCATAATTTTTATGTGCGTTGACAACAAAGTGAGATTCTTTCAGTGTCATAAGACATGCGCCATTTTAGTAAAACTAATATTTAATGAATAGTGTAATTTGCGCTCTAAATGTAATGTGAATATGAACCAATAATATATGTTGGTTTCTGAAGGATAAACTCAAAAACTACTGGACATATTCTTAAAATTCTTTCACCTTCAGAAAGCAACAATATCGGCGGTTTCATTTCCGAAAAACTAAAAACAAAATTGCCTATAAAGGTGAGCTGCGAAAATTATTGATGATACATAAAATAATATACTCGTTACATGTTATAGTACCCATCATTACAGAGAAAAAAAGTCAGCAACGCTACATGTCTAATGCAATAACCGCTTTTCATTCAAATAACACTTCACTGTGAGATTTTCACTGGACAGTTCACAAAATCGCAACACGTGTTTCGCTATAAAATAACTTCATCAAGTGTTTTCAAACTATAAGGATAAAATTTTGATAGTAGGAATCACCGGATCACCGGTAGGCAAAAATCGGCCGTCCACAATCGGTGTGTGTGTGCAATTAGCCTAAGCTAGACTCATATTAGGATATCAACAGAATTATTTTTCATATCCTGCCATTATTAAAAGGCATTTTCCTAAAAAAACGACGACAAACATTTTTGTACAAATATTGAAAAACATAACCTATTCTTGACTCTCAGCTTTAAACATGACCTGTTATCACATTCTGATTCAATTGTCAGAATTAGAGTACGTGTTCTCAATGCAAGAAGTCAAGAATTGATATCCTTGTATTTGTAAAATATTAGCTTTTCTAAACTGACTTAGGTCTAGTGGTTCTGAGACTAGACTAACATATAAAGTGTGAAGACTATATTTGACTCAGTGAAGGAACTGAAGGTAACCAGACAGTTTGCCTTATTTATAAACATAAATCGAAGTTTAACTTTGCTTCTACTCCTTATGCTACTCGCAATAGCAATTATACCTTTAGACTTCCCATCCCAACTTCGAATTTAATCAAGGATTCCATGTACTATAATGGTGGTAAATTGTTCAATCATTCACCATTAGAAATGAGATCTGCAAATTCAAGAAATATTCATTTCAAAAAGGCGGTGAAGAACCTACTCATTGATAGACCCTATTATAGTTTGGAAGAGTATTTTAGCGAATCCTTTCAACAATATATTAGCAATTTATTCTTTGTACTATCACTTTATACGTGGTGGTATTTTATCTATACATATTTAGAACTTTTTTATATTTACATTCATGCTTTTTGGAACTTTTTTATATCTACATTTATACTTTTTTAGTACTTTTTTTATATTAACATTGTATTTCTTGGACTTTGTCAATAAGAAGCAAATCTTCGGACAATAAAGTATATTTTGATTTAATTTGATTGAACCATACGTTTCGAATTAAACGTCTGAGCCTGATTGTCCCCTATTTCGTTACTTTCATCAAATCAACTCCTTTATATTCTATTTAGAAAACTCAATTTCAAGTTTTGGGGACCTGGTGGTATCACTAAAAGTTATTCTAGTTCATCTGCAGATACAGGTGCTTCATTCTATTATTCTTATTTCTGAAACTATCTATTTTTTATATCACTGAAAATATACAAGTAAGATAAACTAGGCCTGGAACTTTGTTCATTCAAGTTCGATAAAATAAAATCAGATGACAATTGTTAATGATTTTGATATTTTTTAAAGTTTTCGTTTAAATTTCTACTATTTATATCCATAGCGGACTGTATCCTGTGAGTATTTGAATAATCATCCATTTTTAGTATGAATATGTGGTGCTGGAAGAGAAGTCTTCTTTTTTTACTGAAATGTCTATTTCAACTTGTTAATTTCATTTATCTACATATCACATGTGTGTGTTTCTATCAAGACAAACATTTATATTTTTTCAGAAAAGAAACCATAAAATTACACAAACAACAGCATTGATTCTGAATCAATGAAATTAACATCAATAACCGGTGACAGGATACTATGAAGTGCCAACTCGCATGACATTCAATTTGATTTTAGTCCTTAATTAATGTTAATAGAATGAATAGCCTCGACTCAATGTTACGTTTTGAAAATGAACGTAAAAAAGTTGAAATCATCATAGTGCATCTTTATTTGAAAATCATTTCTCTCTTTTCAGAATCAACCCCTTGAAAGTGAAGATCAGTGTGATGTTAGGTTTAGACATATTACGGAGATCACCATACTGACAGTGCAACTGATTGTGGAGTTTGCAAAGAGGTTACCAGGCTTTGACAAACTGCTCCGAGAAGACCAAATTGCCCTCCTGAAGGTGAAACATTTTTTCTGCATAATATAAAAACCTAAACATAGATTTTCTATACTATAGTTTTTTGCAAAACTGGTTATATTTGACATACAGAAATAGATATTTCAATGATTCTCGTGTGTAACAACCCCAAATATTTGTCTTTGAAAAACTATGCTTACCACAAACTGAGATCAACATCTGTCATCTTCAATATATTGCTCTCTCATTTGTATGTTTCATTATTATCTTTGGTTGAGAAAAGAGACAAAATAAATAAACATAACTCGTGCAATTGAACTTGTGAATCACATTCAAAATATTAGTGTTATTTTTTTCAATTAGGAATATTAAGAAATTATACCTATTATGATAACCTATGTTCGTTTAAGTCATGGTGGAACTTGGACTATGGCCAAAAAAAAGATTCTCCAAAATTGTTGTTCCACAAATAAAAAACAAAGTCAGCCACTTTCTTGTAAAAGCTAAAATTTATATTTACCTAATAAGTTTGTGATGCCCACATCAATCAGATGACTATATATCTTTAATGACATGTTTTTATGAACAAATGAGAAATGAAAAATTCTATGTTTTTTACCACTTTTATTTGTATAAGTTCAATGTAAAAGTTCAAAAATGTTCTTAAAGGACGAAACTGTAGTAACTCTAGTTACAAATAAAAGTGGTAAAAAACATATTTTCATTTCTTATTATTCATGGTGATCTCCTACCACAAAGTAACGGCTACATCCATCTGTGATATAATTGGGTCTTTGATTTTATTCAAATGACTGTCAACATTGAAATCTTTGTCAATCAATAATCCTAAATATTTATGCTTTTCAAGTAGATTCATTAGTTCGTACTTGGACATTCAGTTTGATATATACATGAAACTCGTTTTATCATCTCCCGATTATGGTAAGTGTGATAGCAGAATGTGCGTCGAGAGACAGTTTTTTTGTTCTGGTATAGGTATAGTGTGTTCAATTGATTTAGTTTTCGCCAAAAATTCCAATACTATCTGCTTCTTTATCGTTCTTTTTTTTTGTTTGAAGATCATGTATACTGTTACTTGAAAAATTAGAGTCATGTAGCCATTTTTCAATCATTTCCACATGATCATTTATACAATCATAATCGGTTATTACGCCATATAAGGGACCACCGATATTCGGTCATAAAAACCGATAGTCCTAATAAGCGGCGACATTTTCAGTGAATATACAAATTTCCCTTGCTCATAATTTCACATATTGTAATAATAGTCCAGTCATATTAGATGTTTCATCTCGAAATGAGAGAAAATAAGCTGTAGACTCTTACACACCTTCATTTTGGTATTCTAAAAGTTGTCTCTAAAGTCTCATATAATCTCGTGTCTGCGCCGGAAGTTATTCAAGGTCAAAGGACACAAAAATCAGTTTTTCGGGATAATTTCGGCATACAATTTGCGACAAATTTTGTTTGAAAATTTTATTCATATGCCTGACCTTTTTTTAGATATAGGGCGGATAACGCGCAGCGCTCAGCCATACTCTCTGTAATGCAAGGTCAACTGTGAATCTCTGTGAATAATATCTTGTATAAAGTTGTAAAATTGATGAAATATAAAAAAATTGTATTATTTATTAGTCAATAAATTAAAATTATTAACAGGTTACATATGAGATAACTCTTAAGGTGTATATGGGTTTACAGCTAATTATTTCTCATTACGAGGTTAACCTCTACATTTTTTTGTTTATGTGACGGGACTATAAGAATATTAAAAATAAAAGAAGAAACAGAAGTAGTGTTTACAATATTTATTGTATCTATAAATGTATAAAATGTAATAAAAAACAACAAGGGATTTACATGTAGATGCCTATTGTAAAATATTCATAAAATACTGAATTTCACTTTTTTTGGAACATTTATGTTGAGCATCCGAATTTTATTAGTATATTGTCATAATTTCCCTTCAAGTACTCACTAACAGACTGATAAAACCTTCTGACCATTTACTCTCTGCACTTGGTCTGCACATTTTGTTTCCCAAAATTACAACACACTCTGAATGCTTGTTATTGTTCACATTTATGATGATTCATTATCTGTTGACTTTTGGGCACTACAATTAAGTAAATGTGTTTGCTTAATACTCAATGTCCTAATAACCAATGACGTATTTAGCAATGTTTTTTATGAATAGTTCATAAAGCATTCAGCCCAGACCTATAATTTTGGTCATTATAACCCATATGTTGTTATAAGTGATGTCGTCATAAAGAGTTTTGATTGCATTTTTTCCTTATCTTGAAAATTGAAGTTTGCTTTCAACAGTAAGAATCTCTTGTTTGTTCACAGGCCTGTTCAAGTGAAGTGATGATGTTCAGAATGGCCAGGCGATATGACTTTCAAACAGATTCTATTTTATTTGTGAATAACCAACCTTACTCCAGAGATAGCTACAATCTGGCTGGCATGGGGGAGACCATTGAAGATCTGCTTCATTTTTGCCGGACTATGTATTCCATGAAAGTCGATAATGCCGAATATGCTCTGCTTACCGCCATTGTGATATTTTCAGGTAAGTACTAAATATACATATGATCAAATTATAGTATATTAGTCAACGAGCGGGAAATATAAACATTACCTCTGAGATTGAAGTTTAAGCGAGTAGATTACTATACTTTTTTATAAATAATAACAGGAATATTTTAAAATAAGTTACATTTTTGAAGATAGTAATGATAATATGATAGTAATAATGATAGTAATACCATTAAATTTCATCCTGGAACACACTGTATAATTATTTCAAATAGATGTTTCATTCATCTTTGGTATTTGAGGATTGAGTTCTCTGCCAATCCCATAGATGGCGCTTCGTACGGCAAGATGTCATCGTCCTTACTCAAATAGATATCTATAACCATTATTTTTTTTTGTTTTCAGAACGTCCAGCCCTTATTGAAGGCTGGAAAGTGGAGAAAATCCAGGAGATATACCTAGAAGCGCTGAGGGCCTATGTTGACAATCGGAGGAAGCCCAAACCGGGTACTATTTTTGCAAAACTATTGTCCGTACTGACGGAACTCCGAACTCTTGGTAATCAGAATTCAGAAATGTGCTTCAGTTTGAAACTGAAGAACAAAAAGTTACCTCCGTTCTTAGCAGAAATATGGGACGTCGACATGAAGACATAGTAGAAGAGAATGAGACAAAAACCCGGAGAACCCGGAAAGGGTGGTGCTACTTTGTTTTACTGTTCGTTTGTTTTATTTTCGTTGATGTACATAATAGAAGAAAGGAATCGGATCACTTAATAACGAAAAATGGCAGTTGGACAATGCACCACCAATGCTGGCTGTGAAATATAAATTTATTCTTTTTTTTACTACTAACACTCGACGGCACCTAGAAAATGTTATTGAGTTATAAATTTCGTAGCTCGATTTTTCGTATAAGAATCAAACTATACGTAGATTTTATAAACCTCTATGAAACTTTTATAAAACTTTATCTTGGCAAAATGCTTACTTAATTGGTAAGACTGGATTGGACTGAAAAATATAATACAAGGTGCCTTCACGAAAACAAGGATCATAAGTCTGAGGGCTGGTGCAAGCAAAAAACGACGACTAAAAAAAAGAGAAATGTCAGACAGAAGAAGATGATGTAGTAAAGAGGGATGATCTAGAAAACGAAGATTCAAAAGTGCAATTTAGTTTTTAATTGGTTTTTATGCACCGATTTTGGAAAATGGAGGGCCGAATTACTTCGAAAACACAAAGTGGATACAAAAATTAGCAGCCGTCCGAAACGCATGAGAGTGGAAGTGAAGTGATTCAAACGTAACGTCTCTGAACAGTGCTATTTTGACGTGTGCCATTTAACATGGGCATGAGTCTGCGTATATAGGTATTATAACCACTTTATAGACTTTCCTGCCTTGAAAAACTATTGATGTTTAACTCTTTGGATGTGTAGTTAGTAGTCTACTCATTTTTTATACTATATAGTTTCCGCCATTAGACTTTCTGCAGCTAGTTAGAACCTGAAGAGCGAAAAACTTGAATCATCAGTTCACTCACAACTTTTGTTGATCTTTTCCCAATTGTGTCATAAAGTTAAATTTTCATTTAGTATTTGCGCAACCTGAAAGTCTAAAGTAACTCAACTCACTTTCAATTCCTAATAACGTATAAAAATTTTTCTAGAGAGAATGTTTAAGAAAAGAAATGAACTACAAGTCGTCTTTCACCTAATTATTATAGGTACACGGTATTTTTTGCCAATACCTCATCAATTACTCGATGACCATTCAAAACCTCCCGAAGTGATGGTAAGTTATCGAAAACCTATAAATTAAGAACTCTCCAACACTTCATTCTTGTGAAATGGATGAACATTGTTGTTAACTCTTTCAAATAGCTCTAGACTGATACATCTGAGAGTAGTACCATATCTTTTGAGTTTTGTTGAATTCAATAGGAGCCAGAATATTTCAAAAATATTACCAAGTCCTTTCCTCTCCTGTAAACCTTTTTTTTTATTGCTGTTACTTGGGAGATGTTTTATATATTAAGTAGCCAAACTAACTTTGTCCCTTTGTTGCATTATGTGCAACTGAGGTCTCCCTTATACAGCCTTATTTTGTTCAGGTGTCCTCTGAATAGACTGTGAATATTAGCCCTTAGATGGTTCCTGAATGTGTGAGTTGCCAAGTATATTTTCTCAGTAAGTAGGCCTTACTAGTTTGTAGACATGTGCGATAGAGTGAATGAAATTAATTTCTGCTTTTCATGGTGGGAAATAACTTGCGACGAATCTTCCAAATCGAAAAAGTTGCACACGTACCTGATGGTTTTACTTTCTGAGCGGCATTAACTGGATTAGTTGTTGTTTTTCCGTCGGGTATCTGCCACACGTTCCTACAAAGTCGTAGGTCTTACATGAGAGGCAAGGGGAAAGTTGTTTTCACCTGAACCTGGAGCATGTCATATGCACCTCTCCGAAATATTATTCATTATTTCGACTCTCACCCTGGAGAATATGCAATTGTTTCCTGCCTTTGTCTGCAGGTGAAGCAGTGGACCTCCCACTGAATCAACTGCAGAAAGAGTTCATGACTAGGTGGAATTATATTTGTTTGGTCGTGATACTCAGACGATTCACAAAGTTCTGAAGAGACCATGTCCGGTACTGATGATGGGGCCAGTACCCCGAAACTGGTCTATCAATTGGTCGTATAGATCGAATGAAATTAATTTCTGCTTTTGCAATGAATCTTTCAAATCGAAGACGTTTTACTTCAGCTTTCTGGTGGGCCAAAAAAATCGATAATTTTTTTTTCTCTTCATACTCTGACAAATAGATTGGTAGATTGGTATCTCCAACAATTAGCTCTTAATTTTAATAGACAAGTCCTCCGCCTGTCAGTTTTTCATTTTTTCCTCATGATTAGGAAGAAAAAAATACTATTTGGAAAAAATATTTCTCATATATTCATAGTAAATTGAATTCTCAAAAAAAATCTCTTATAATTTTTTTGTAAAACTGACTGTTCAAAAGTTATTAATGGCTGACGTTTGGTTATTTTCAGGCAGATTTTTTTCTTGTGAATTTTATAACTGGTTAACAAAAATTCACTTCTACAAAAATGGTCTCTTATGATTAGTCGATTGAAGTAACCGTTTGAAAGATATTCATTGTCAAACTTCGATGCACATTAATTTTAACAGTTTTTGATTAATAACTCGAACAATTTTAATTCAAATTATGAGTTTTGGGAAAATTCCTACAAACCTGAATTTCTATCAACAGAGAAATGTCGAGGTATTAGCCAGAGAAGTAATTGTTTTCCGGCAGGCATTTACCAGAACCTACTGTGTATGTACGTTGGAAGAGGTGAATATTTCAAGATTTTATTTCGAAATATTTATTTTCCTATAGTTATGTATGTATTAATCCTTGATACAACACTCAAACTAATTTTGACTGCTGCAAGATATATAGTTTGCCTTCCACCACATTTTCTTTTGAATCATCCTTTGAAAATGATTTGGAAAATCTCCTTCACTTTCATACTCGAAATACAACTTGACAATCAAAATTATATTGAATTATTTGGTCACATACAAAAAAGTTTCAGTTTTGTTTGATCGTATTTTATTTCTTTTGTTTGGTTCATAGATTATGCAAGTATGATAACAATTCAGAGACTTTCAGAGAAAATTATTTTCTAGCCACAAATTTTACCATATTCTCACTTCTCTGAAACAAATTTAGTTTTGCGGCATGATATCTATGCCAGGAATGTTTCAAAAGAATTTTTTTCTTTCGTGTAATTCAATGTTTATATGAAAGTAGCTGTTTCAGGAGGACTTTCTTTTAGTTTGTGTCTGAAAGTTACTTCTTTGCATGATCTACACATCCATGTATAGAGCTACTAATTTTCAAATTGATTACTTCCTTCCTTTCTTTGGAAGATTCCCTCATCCTTTTTTGTATCAAGATGGAGTAATAGAAAACCAAAAACTGTCTTTCCCAAAAACTGATGAATCATATATCATTCTTCACAATAAGTTATATGTCGCAAACAAAGACTTTTGAGCATTACCGGTCATAGGGAAGAGCTGATGAATAGAAGAACTCATTTTTCACACCCACTTTGAATTTACTCAGAAAAACTTTGACTTTATGAAGATAGCAACGAAATGCAGCAGGCAATGAATTATCTTCAAGATCTACTATTTTTCTCAGAGAAATTAGTTTTCGAAAATTGTGAAGGAAACAAATTCTAGATTTTCTGCTCTTCTGACAGAAGCATTACATTTACTATTTACATACATATAAACATATTTTTCATCGATGTAGATAAACATATTTTCATAAATGAGACAGACGTATTTTCATTCAATCACATGATTCTTGCGCCATCTAATGCCTTATAGGAGAAAGTCTGGTTGTTACAAGTTCATGTTTTGTTCATGTGTTTTCCCATTAGCTTCAGTTTGACATTTTTTTATTGTTTCAAAGATCTGATCACCTGTTTGAAAAATGTCCATTATGTCACTTTTAATTGTTTATTTATATTGTTCTGTTAGACATTTGTTTCAACTAGACTTTCAAAAGCACATATTTGTTTACTCAGGAGTCAACCTAAAAACCTTTTGTCATCAGGTAATAAAATAATACTGGCAATATAATATATAAGAGATTCGCCAGTATCTTACAGCGTCTAGTTTGTGATGTGATTCTTATATTCAGATGGCCTTTCGATGTAGAAAGTTGTTTGTAAATTATTCAGAAGTATATTATTTATCCTCGAGAGATCTGCAGATTTTATATTAGATAGATTCACCCTATTGAATAAGTGTACAAATTATCATGGTACAAAGTTTTTCAGGAAATTGTTAATATTCTACAGCAATCGGTTGACTCCTTACGTTTGTCATATCACTCAGGATCATTGGTTCAATTACAACCCTAACCTATAAGATTTTTAGTAATATACGAAAATTTCATTCACGATTTCGGAAATTTTTAAAATATCTAGCCATTTATCACTGTAAATTGATATTAATGAGTTAGCTAGTCTAGTGATACAGTGATTCACTCAACAAAAAGGTGGGTTGGGATATACCTCTCATGATACAATACAGTTATGAGGATGAGTAATAAAGTTTTAATCAAATTACTGAAAAGGAGTTTTTCCATTTTAAAAATAGATTTTCTTCATAAACAATCACAAATGATATGAAATGAACGAATAGCTTTATCTACAATATTGATGAAGAACGGTTATGAAAAAAAGGAATTATTTTGCTATTTCACTGAACTATTCTGTATTGAGGCCATCAACATCTCTTCTAGACCAGTCAGAAGCGCCCTCTCTCTCTTTCACTTTCATCAAGGGCTATGGAATTCTTCATATATAATTTCTCAGAACTCTTCATGTTCTCTGAAACTCGTGTTTTATGATGATGTGCGGTTTGACCGACATAGTTTCCACAGTTCAATTTGTAAACTATGTTGTAGACATGCAATTCAACATAGTCTACAAATTGAACTGTGGAAACTATGTCGGTCAAACTGCACATCATCATAAAACACGAGTTTCAGAGTACAGAGAAATTATATATCAATAATTCCACAGCCTTTGTTGAACATGAAAGAGGTCATTGACACATTTTTTATTTTAAACATCTGGCATGTCCAACCATATTTATCCAATACACTTTTGAGCAAAATGATACATATCCTTAAACAAGATAGTGTCAAGCCTGAAAGAGATCTCAGTGGCCCTAGTTCAACATATTTCGATTCATTTAATAATTATTTTTTGTTATTATGGTGTTTCTAATGGTTTCATTTATGTAATATATGTGATGGTTTTTAGCAAAATTATATCAATTTATTATTGATTCTTATAACATTGGAATGACAACAGTTATAAAGTGATTTGTATTGTTGGAGGTACTTGTTATTACAGAGGCCTGAAGAATAACAATCAAATTCGAAACAATTGCCCCCAACCAACCTTTTTTTAAAATTGATATTAATAATATTACTGGCATAGTGATACTGAGTGATAAGTTTGTATTCACTGCCAGCAGTGACCCTGTCTCTCACTACATCATCATATTTGTCATGATACCTAGTGTCTCATTTGATGTCTATGGAAGATGCCTTCTGCAATAACTGATCATTAGCGAGTAATTTGGTTTTTCGCAGAAACATGCAATTCATTCTGAAATTAATATTTCGTCCATTTTAATCCATCCAATTTTCAAATAAAAAATTCAATCACAACTTGTTTTGCTCTCCACCTATTAATTCATAACCAAATTGAAGGTTGTTATTGATTTTTCCATTAATAACAAATCTCGCAAAATATTTGTTATGAGATTTGTGAGACAGTAAGTACCAATATTTTATTTCTAACTTCGCAGTTTATCACTTGTATATTTGGTACATCCTTTCTGAAGAGATACTTGCTCGACGGAGAGACACCAATAAAGGTTTTTTTAAATAATAATAATAATACTTACTGTTGTGAAACTTGATTCAGATATTCTAGAAGGTATCTCCTTTAAATCCATGCAGTCTAATGTAATTTTTATCGACTTTTTGAATACCAGACAGAAAGCTATTAATACTTAAGAAAGTCTTGGATAAATCCGGCACAAACTTCGAAATAAATTGACAAGTAGTGACAAGGAAACTGGTTTTTACTAGAAAAGCAGACTCGAATAAAAACTGTGTTGAAGAGCTTGGAACGTTTAGTTCAAACTTGTTTGAAGAAAAACCATGTTCTTTGCCTCATTTTGTACATTTTACACTGCCAAATTTTTTGGACTGCCATCAGGTTAACTGTAGTTTTTCGTAAATGTATGTTTGTCCTAGAAGTAAGGATGGCTGCATGGATTCGTTAAAAATATATTTAAAAAAAGGACTGTACTGTTAATCGTGTTTGTGTTCGAATTATCTGTCGAAATCTCGCAATGAGATGTTTGATAAATGGTGGAAGGTAATAGAGAAGATCAGATTTTGAGGGAAAGCGGGAATAATTCATTGAAAACTTATCTTTTATTTATGATCTTTTAACACTTAACAGATTATATTATTCTTCTATTAGAATGGACTCTTTTTACTGATTTCTTTTGAAATCACTTTAGGACAGGAAATCGTTGAAACTTTGAAATCTAAAAGAAATACTGAACCAAAATGAGAAATTGGCAGCAGAATTTTTTTGTCAGATACAGAAAAAATTTGAAGAACTTTGGGAGTTGACTGGCAATTTTTTGTTTTTAATTTGAACGTTTTTTAATACTCATTCTCAAAATGTTATTCAAATCAGAACACAGACTACTGAATTTTTTGTGCATTTTATAGTTTTATTTGTGTCTCGTAAACTGAAAGTATTTTAAATTTACATAAATTCACATTCAACTGGTGTAGATAAACGTTAACTTTCCTAAAGTAAAATACGAAATCAAAGTTTGGTGTATGGATTAGCCACAATAGTAGCATGTCACTACATATTTCAACTTGCATATTTGCAACTTGACATATTTTTGAAAAATAAGTCTGGTAAAGATAACCTAAAAGGACAATTCAGAATTTTTTCAATTTTTGGAAAGCGATACCTACATTTAATGCCATAAATGGTCCAAATTCCTTCTCGAATGATGTTTAAATAATATAATTTTAAAAAGTGTCTGGGGTAATTGAATTTGGAGGTTCAACCAGAAGTTACACAGAAAATTGACGTTATAGAACTTCTTGATTTTATTTATCTGAATATCTCTTGAAAATTTTTCCTTTGGAGGATTATAATTTTTTTGCCATCAATATGCACTAATGTGATATTCATTTCGATAATTATGTGTGTTAAATTTTAATTATAGTAGGATGTGAATTTGTTGAATAAACATTTTTTATCCTTTTTCAATGATTTCCTATTCTAAAGCGTGTATAGTAATGTAAATATTGTGGTAAAAATAATTTCAGTCACTTTGTTGAAAACGTATAAATATATTAAGTTTGGACCCTTTTTGTTAACCCTCTTTTGTCTAAGCAGGATTCAGTTGTACACTTCGATTTCGAGAAAAGATACCTTTTTATATTTAAATTCCTGCTTTTGCAATAGGGGCCATTCCTACTAAGAGTGAATATAATTAGATTAATTGAGAAAGTGCAATATGTACAAATTTTACTAATTTACTTTTTTATATATTAATTATTAAGTCTGTATATCAAGATTTATTAATTATCATGTGTTAATTTTATACAGAGAATACTGAGTGGCAGTATTATACATAGCTGAAAACCGATGACATCTTTTGCTGTCGTTTTATTATAAGACTCCTCCAACAGCCATAAACTTTTGTTTTATATATAAATGATACCTATATAGTTAATTTACTGTTGTACAGACTCTATATTTTATTTTTTATGGCTGTTGGAAGTGCTTATGCCTTATCACAGTCGACCTGCAACATGACTTGTACTGTAAAATCGAGTGTTGTAAGAATGACATGTTCGATGATATATTTTGTGCAGTAAACAGTAAATTAATAAGACTTACAGTGTTTCATTTTTACATCCCTGAAAGCGTGAATGTGAATAGTTATAATTTTTTTACTGGAATCCATTCAAATTGAGGCATTCTTGATCATATTGACGAATTCAAGGAGGAAATATAATAGCACTAAATAAATTCATCAAGCTAAAACTACCTATACCTGATGATATCAGTGCCAACAGCTCCAACAATGTTTTCATGAAAGTACCAACTATTGAAATGTAGAGGTTCGGTAATAGGTACATTGTTCAAAAGAGTGTTGATAATGAAAGGTAAAACTGGAAGCTCTAGGGTCTAGGGTAGGATGAATCAAAACCAAGCGCTGTTCCTAAACACCAGAACTGCATTACTCTAATCGACGCGCTTTTCAACAACCAAGTCGGCGTCTTTAGGAGATGAAGTAAACTGCCAAAAATGTAATCTGGTCATTTTTTATTGTGAGCCATGGTCAGGGATATATCTGAAAGTGCTGGTAATTTATCGAAAGTGAAATTATTGAAAATACTTGAAATAATGGACCAAAAAGTCAGTTGAGTTAGTGAAAAACGAAAGTAATGTAAGAAAAATGAGCAAAGAATAGCAAAAATTGTAATAACGCTAAATTGTAAAGAAAACCAAAAGTGACCTGAAATGAATTGACAACTGGTTTAAGCAATACGTGTACTGTCAGTTGTATTAAAACAATAAAAATGTGAAATGAAAATATACGTTGTCAAATAAACTTTATCAATTCTGACCTAAAATAAGAAATTTCAGGTCACAATATTGTTTAACTTTGCAAATTAGCGCTCTCACAGGTTTTTTTATAACTTTTTGCTCACAATATTTGTCATTAATGATAATACTAACTTAATCTGCTTTTAAAATTTGTTTTTACGTTAACCAGAAACATTATATGTTTATATAGAAACAGTGGAACTAGATGAAATACCAAACTATTAATTTTTTCCATAGATATAAAATACTAAGATACCTAAAGTTTTTTTGAATTGAGTGGAAAAATTTTTGTTCATTATGTATTTGTACAGGCTGTTATAAATTGTTATTCCAATGAATAATAATGGAATTGAAAGAAGTATGTTTTTAGGAGAGATCAATTTTTGGGAAAGAAAGGATTGAGCTGTCTACTTCTTCATCTTTATACAAAAAATGTGCGAAGTTTTCAAAGAAAGGAAAGAAGCAATCAATTTCAAAAGAAGTAGGTAAGGTTCGGCTCTGATGAACTCTAAAAACCTGATTCGGTTTCCAGCGGGGCAGGCACAAAGTATATGCTCTGCTGTTTCATCGTTAATGAGGTAGTCGGATAGTCAAGAAGCAAGATTCCCACCTTGATACCCGCGACAACCTTCCCATATGAGGGTTTTTGCATGTCAGCTACACCTGATGATGCCTTAGATTCAACCGTGCAGGGCTTTTTTGCCTCTGGTTTTGGTGAATCATCACTTGCACCAAAGTGCAAGGCGGTTTCATAAGGTACCCCGACTCAGTCGTTTCCTGGCTGCACCACCAAACCTTTTTTTTTTAGGTTCAGTTATTGAATTAGGGTTAAGCCATCGTTGGGATGCCCTTGTAACCCAAGCGTGTTGTCTGAAAAACAAAATATATCGACAGCAGGATCTACAATGATTTGTTGAAATAGTTTCCATCTCATATACTGAAAACTTGGTTGGAATTCGAAAAATATGTTTAAATATCACAAAAAAATACAGTTTTTCTATGTTTTCAATTATTTATTTTTTCCAAGATTCTGTCACAAGTGATTCTGTCATTCCTATATCCAGCGGGGCTACGTGGAAGCAGACATACGATGGCTGGTTTGCTCAACCCCCACATCCCAATCCAATTCACTTGCCAAAAACAGTAGTAACTCTTTACATAGATGTGTAGATTATGCAAAGAAATAACTTTCAGACACAAACTGGAAGAAAAAGCCCTCTCAAAACAACTACTTTCATATAAACAATGAAATTACAGGAAAAAAATACTTTCGAAACGACAACTTTTATAAGAACATTGAATTATATAAAAAACACTTTTTGCTATTATGTTTGTACTCAAAACGTTCATTGAAGAATTGAATCAGAAATTTTGAATGTTTATATTTGTTATAATTGGTTTGTTGGTTCTATAAATAGCGAGTTGTGAATACATTTCATCGCTTTATTTTCTTGGGTTTTCGAAGGTTTCAGGGATTTTCAGTATTTTCAATAATTTTTACATTTTATTCATTTTATTTGTTCTGAACTTGTAACGTTCGTCACAGAACATTGTCTACCACTTTCACGCAAACCTCCCTGATTCATTTTGTTCAATTATTTGTAATTCGAAAATAAAGACCCATTATTATCATTATTTCAGCAGAATTGTTCTATTTATGATACCAAGTGGACGACACCTATGTCGTGCAGATATTCTTTCACATAATGCAAAATTTTGAAGGCTACTGAAAATATCCTTCAGTTTACCCAGTTGAAATTATAATTTTATTGGTTTATCCGATTTTTATAATGAAATAATTATATACACCTTATATGAAAAATGTATTTATTACCTACTCCTCTGTAACTTACCTTCAAAACATAAACCAACAAAAATTACTAAAACTGTGAATCCTATACTATCTAAGGCTAAAATACGTAGGTAACTCTACTCATCAGAACAAGTTTCCGGAAAAACATAATCTGGCTTGATTTGCCGAAATTCCAAGTATACGTGACGTTTCGTCTCGTCTAATTGATTGATCATTTCGTTGAAAGATGGCCTGTCTTCAGGCCGTTCTCTCCAACATCTCAGCATTAAATCGTACAAGTCGTCTGTGCAAATTTCCGGACGACACAACCGTCTCCCTGATTTGAGGTAGTGAATAACCTCATTGCATTCCATATCTCCATAAGGAAGTGCACCTGGAAAAGAAGCGCAAAATTGTTGCTGATTGGTGAAGATTATTTTCAGAAGGCCGCAATAAGAGACAACAGGAACTAATTTCTGAAAGATCTCGGCTTAAAGTAGACTTTCTGATTTGAACGAACAAATAGTCAGCAGCAGAGAAGACAGAAGCTATTGAGGAGTTCGTGTTTGTCGAGTTCGTCCAAAATAAAAAGTAATTAGTGAAGAAGATATTCTTCTCGTCTTCTTAGACAATTTGCAATAGGTATTTATTACACTGTGTGTGATAGTGAGTATCAAAGAGACTGCGAAAAAAAATCAATACCTCATTTCTGACTCCGATAAACCTGCCATGAAGTTTCACTTACCTCAATTAGTTTCTCAAATCTTATTTCGCAGCCAATCACCGTACCCATTATCCCTAAACGACAATTCTCTATCTTGTCTTATTATATAACAACCATAAAGAAAACAATACATTCTTCAAGTTCTGAAGAATGTAAAGTCAGACAGCGGAAGTTCTAATAGGCAAAAGATACATTTTTCGCTCATTTTTGGAATACTCCAATAGATAAATACGGAAAATCTCGAGCTGTGATATTGGCTGCAAGTCTCCAAAGATAGTGATGTTCTCAAGGGTTACTCTGGGACCTCCATGTCATATGCCTATGCGATGACATATTTATTGTACCGCAAGTGGAATAGTCCAAACGAAACAATCATAGTGCACCAGTTGATTGTACTTAGAGCACAAGTCAAATATGTTTAAGAATAATTTTCTAGTAACCTAAAGCACTAGTTTGAGAGAGATGTAACTAGGTAAATTATCACTCTGACCTGGAAGAAAGGTCCCACAAGAAGTCAAGGAGAAATTGCACTTTGTCCGAAACCTTCTTTTGGAGAATCACAATAGACACACTCTGACCTTTTCATGGCTGACAACAACAACAAATACCTGATAGTGGTAATAGATGATTTGTAGCTGTGATAAACATTTCAAACGAAGAGGCTTGTATCGTAGCAGAAGAGTAGGCAAACATGCAGTGCTCGCTCATAGTTGGAATTTCAAGTCGGGACTCGCAGGAACTGATAAAAATACTAGGAGGCAAGAAGACACGTACAACATCCCTTTACCCACACTCGAGCAGAATATTAGAAGAATATAACAAAATAATATCAGTCAGTACTTGACTATGTTCGTTTCAGTGAATCGGAAAGATAGAGCCAAGCCAGCAGTGGAGTTATTTGGTGTTTGTTCCCAAACAATTACACCTACAGATTACCAGTGACGGTACAAAGTAAAGGTTAGAGAGGAAAGTCAAAGATGTTCTGTTGAAAGGAGAAGATACTGTGTGATCCATGTGGAAAAACTGGATCACTATAAAAGTAGGTAATGATATTTTCGATTGGTTGCTTCAGAATCAACAGACGAGTTATCCAGGCATAGATATAAGTAACTTATGAAGGGAGCAATGTCTTGGATTCGATATTCAACAAAATACCTTTATTATTATACTTTCAGAATATGCTGGCAGCGATAATGGATCAGTCTTCTCTTATAAAGAATCGACAGAAGACTCAATCCATGAATATCAATAATAAATGGAAATCAAAATCAGTCTGATGCCTGTGTCAAAGAGGGATATAATTTTATCTTTCCAAGTACCTACAGAAACTATTCTCAAAAAGAATTTGTTTTAAAGACAAGCTACCACATCAACCACTAAACCAGATTCGTCCTCTTTCTGTTTAGCTTTCACTGCAAGAGAACTAGTCGAAACCAGAGCCTCAAAACCGTGATTCAAACAGTGGTGTTTCTACCTGCTTTAGACTAAACCATGAATACGTTGCCGTTTATAGAGTTTTCGTAAGGGGAGGTGTCATCGCCTTCACTCACTCAGGGTCACCTTCCAGTTGAATACAACGGCTGGTCGAAACATGAATGCGTTGTATTTGGGCTCTAGTTTCCTACTAGTTGCCTTGAACTGAAAGCTGCAGTGGTGGTAGAGGATGAAACTCGTCGGAAGTCGATGTCGAATCTTGACTTTGCAACTGACTGCTTTGAGGAGACTCGTTAATCTTTGACATTCGAGGATTGAGTTCTCTGTCGATCCCATAGATGTCGCCTTTGTTAAGGGAGATGTCATTGCCCCCACTAACTCAAGCTTCTTTTTTAAGGATAGTAATGAGTCCAGTAACGCATTTGTCCAACTGCGTTGAGAACCTTTCATCCATCATAAACAGCTCACTGACCCTCAGTTACTTTCCCAGAAGGTGGAAGCCTGCGATCGTTGTCATGCTCAAAAAACAGGGACAGAACCGATTGTTCCCGCAGAGCTATCGCCCGATTAGTTTGCTCCCGTCGGCGACTAAGCTGGCTGAAAGAATCGTTCTTCAAAGGCTCAACGAAGAAGTTGGAGAAATGTTCTGCCTGACAAACAATTCGGCTTCAGGAGAGGGCACTCCACTGAGTTACAGGCTCTGAGACTGGTCGAAAATACCATCGCGAAGCTGAACCTAAATAGAAAAGTTCAAGTTCATCTCTCAAGTTATTCTGCAAGGCCTTCGACCGTGTTTGGCACGAAGGCCTTCTGCATAAATTAATTGCGTTCGACCTGCCTCGGGGCCTTATCCGGTGGATTGGGTCTTTTCTGAAAGACAGAACATTTCAGGTTAGAGTAGATGGCTCTCTGTTTGACAACAGAGAGATCCTCGCTGGAGTGCCACAGGGGGCTGTGCTCTCTCCCACGCTGTATTCTCTTTACACTAGCGACCTTCCGAGGTCCGAGCATGTGAAGGTATCCCTCTACCCCGACGACACGGTTCTCCTCTCTTCTTCCATGCGTCGGGAGCTCGGGATCGTCTACATGCATATGCGCATTGGACGACCTCGAGCGCTGATACCTCGAAGGGAAGATCCGAGTAAACCCGGAAAAGATCTAGGCGATAACCATGGGAAGAATACTATCTTCTCCGGCGAGAAAAGTGAGAATCTCTGGAGGGAGATTAACTGGCAGGTGGGGGTAAAGTACCTCGGTCTTCTAATAGATCGTAGGCTCACCTGGAACCCACACTTTATAAGCGTGAAGGCAAAGATCGAGGTCGGGTGGCAAGCCTGTACTCTCTGATAAATAGACGATCAAAGCTAAGCCTAAAAAACAAATTGGCGATGTTCAAGCTTGTTATCATGTATGCTTCAGGCGTCTGGGGACAAGCGGCTCCGTCCATCATCTCCATCCTGGAGAGATCACAAAATAAGTTGATACGAATGATTGTGAATGTTCCGTGGTTCGTGCGGAACAAAGTTATCCTCAGAGATTTACAGCTGCCTTCCATTCAGCAGTCCATTCAGTCGAGGAACCGGCAAGTTTTCGATTGCGCGGAAACTCATGATAATCCGTTAGTCAGGGAAGCTATAGATTACGCTGTAGACGACCCCTTCCGATATAGAAGGCCCGACATATTGTCGAATGGGGCCCTCATGTCCTCCGTTAATAGATGATTAATATCTTTACCATCTCACTCCAGCCAGGTAGGGGAACACCGCGAAGGGTGGTACTGATGTCTGAGGACATTCATGCCGCCATCTCAAAATCAGTTATGACCCATTTGTCTCTCTGACAAAAGCCAGCTCAAAGGGTAAGGGAGCTAGGCTCCAACCCGAATGACATCAGGATGACGAAGACTAACACATTTGCCCTCGATTTGTGGTTCAGCCTAGCACCGCTGATGATCAAAATAGTGCTGTTTGGTGTTGAATCTTGAATGCGTTATGTTTTGGTTCTTGTTTTCTACAGGAATGCATTGTTGGACTCAAACATGGCGGATCGAAACGGCGCTGTATTATGTTGGATCACGAATTGTTGTTTACTCTGTTGCCTTGCAATTTTAGACGAATACATAAGACGAATCAAATCGATGAAGAAAGTTTGGCTCTGCCTTTTGGAGTCGCTTTCATCGTTGATTCTATATCGAATCCCTAAAGTGAGCCGGAAGCAACGACCATTCATTCTATTGGATAGCGAACACTTACAAAACAAAGAACAGCTATTATATCGCTATACATATAAGTTACGGAACACTTGCGGAATCGTCGAAAAGGTAAGCTATAGTTGAATTCCAAACTGGCTTAAATGAAAACGACTAACAGAAGGTATTTGCGATCAGTTTAAGTTGCAGTTACGTCGTACCTACAACTGTTTCAAAGAACCCAGAGGTATAATACACTGCTTGTTGCAAGAAATATTTCCTTAGAAAGAATAAAAAAAATCTCAGGTAATATCTTCCGTAAATCTTTTCGAATAATATTTCGTCATTAATAATCTGCCAATATTTATATGAATACTTACCTAAAGTTCCAATTTCCCATAAAACGACACCAAAAGACCAAACATCACTTTTGTTGGTTGTTTTCAGTCCTTTGATGACCTCTATAGAGCACCATCGCAGAGGAATTTTTCTGTTCATATTGATGTTGACGTAGGTTTCTGGTCTAGACATACCAAAGTCGGTTATTTTCAGTAACTTTTCCTTTGTTATTAGAATGTTTCTAGCGGCCAAATCTCTGAAATAAACACAATTTCAAGAAAAAACATATTTGGGCAGGGCGAATCAAAACATTTTGCATTAAAAAAAAAACAAAAATGTCCTACTTTTTTTCACTACTGATTTGAGAGATTTTTTTAATGAGATTTAAGTTTCATTATTTCTTTTAGCAAGTTAAAAAAATCTGTTAAAATGTGTTTTTCCGTTACCTTTTAACGTGTGATTCCTAGCACGAGAACTCCATTATGAAGAAATGACCTTTTTTTCTTTTATTGTTATTTAACAATCCATAATCTCTAGTTTTAGGTTTGATTTGATTCTAGTTGGAACAAATATCAGTGCAGAATGTATGATATTGATTGAAATTGAATGAATAAATGCATATTTCTAGTTTAAATAGTTGATGTAGATTTGTTTTCCATCCTGTGTGTGAGTATATCAGAGTTAAATAGATTTGTCATTATAGATCTCTCATTAGGAATGTTTATTAATCAATATGATTCTGAATATAACGTTAATTTGAGTTACTGAAAACAATTTTTCCAGAATTGTTCTCAACAATAATCTTGATCTCATGAATACTTTTAGAGAACAGGTCCCAATACTGATCCTTGGAGCACATCACAAATGACGTTCTAAGCTATTCTAGCTAATTCAAGTACTATTTTTTTTCGTTTATAATGAGTCATTCTACTGTGACTTTATACTCGACTGTGTATGTACCCTTAAGCGGTTTATTTTTCAAGCGATAGTTTTTCAACATGACAATGGTTTTAGTGTTCTCGCCATGACGTATCCTGTTTATTCTTGTTGGATTCGAAACAAATGAGGATTTGACTAACGACCATTTGAGATTTGTGTGTTTTTCTAACCTAATAATCCACTTACCGGTGTGTTATTCCGATTGTCTCCAAATGTGCCATGCCGGAGGCTATTTGAGAGGCGAACGATTGCAACTCTATGTGGTCAAGGACAGGAAAGGGAGGTGGGCTGATATCTTCTATAACGGGAGTCGTTGCTTCGGGTTCGTATACAACAACACCATCTGAAGAAAACACACATAGTTTGATACTTATAATGATAGTGAACCAAAAAGTCGCAAAATTAATTTTACTACCTTTCAGGAAGTTATTTTGTTTGCTATTTCAATATTGAAAAAAAAAATTAGGATTTGGTAAGTGGTAATAACAATACTTCTGTAATATTATAGAACAAGCTAAGTGATATCGATACCGAGGTATCGATGGGTGCTACTGAGAAGAAAATGTAGGTCCGGAACTTCGGGTGATTACCATCACCGGACGTCTGCGTGGGGAATGAACATGGGGAAATTAGGGGTTTCCAGGTAGTTGTAAGTCTCTGACCGTCATCACGTTTGTTCAGGCAGGAATGTCGCTTTCCGATTTCGATGGCCATGCGAATTATCCAAGCTTGTAGTGTTTTCGCAGAGGCGATGGTCTTAGTGTTCGCAAAGTCTATATCGTGTCCTGCCTCTTGACAATGTTTGGACAGGGCTGAGGATGGGTCTGACTTACGGACAGCAAGTTGATGTTCGTATAGTCTATTTGTCACACGTCTGTTGGTCTGGCCTACATACACAGTATACCATCCTTTGTCTTTTTAATAAAAATACAGTTGACAAAATAAATCAGATAAAGCTGTCCTCATAGAATTCTTCTGTCTTCTAAACTATAATAGGGTGTACCACATAATAAGTCTTTTACTGATTTTCGAAATATACAGTTATCCTTTAAAATTTTAATATGGCCTGGAAAGTGATCAAACATCTTGAGACCATTATAATATATAGTCTTTGACTTAGAGGCTGGTATGGGTAATCTTAGGTCGTTAGTTTGACGAAGGGCATAATAATTGGAGTAAATATCAATTTATGTTTGTTTATTGAACATACTGTTTCTAAAATGAATATTTCAAAAACTGTAAAAATTTTATGTAATTCAAATAGGGGTTTTCAGCACTCTCGACTATTGGCATTGCACATGAATTTTATAGCCCTTTTCTGGATAATGAACACCATCTACATTTGAGTTTTGCAACATACTCCCCAGAAAGAAATTCCATACCTTAAATGCGACTCAACAAGTGAGAAATAAGCCGACTTAGCGGCAGACAAACCAAGATCCTTATAAGTTATTCTCACTGAAAAACACCCTGAAGCTAGCTTTTTATTAAGGGTAACAATGTGATCGACAAATTTGAGTTTATTGTCAGATATTTAGTACTAGGTCTGTTTTCAATTATCCTTTCCGCTTCGTGTGTTGGTAAACGAATGTTGTCAATAAAGCAGCGGAATGATATTAAATTTGTTTTGGAAACATTAAAAGACAGCAGATTAGAGTCGACCCACTTTTTTAGTTTTTTTTATATCTGCACTTATAATCTCGTGAAGATTATTTAAAGTTTTATTACGCCCTAATATTGTGGTGTCATCGGCGAAAAGGGTAAATTTTTCTTCTATATCGACAGATGCTAAATCATTTATGTATAGCATGAGAAGTATCGGTCCCAGTATTGAACCTTGTGGTACGCCTTTTTTATTTCGCCTTCTGATAAGGATGATGAGGTTTTCACAATCTGATTTCTTCCTGTAAGATGATTCTCGAACCAGTTATAAGAAATGAACACAAAACATTGTTATATGGTTGACCATTACGTGTTACACAAAAAGAGAAATAATAGGAACAAAGAAAATGTGAAAAGCGATATTCATTATCAAGGTATGTAACGGAATCGGCCGATAATTGACGAAAATCCATAACTTTTTTCTCGATATTATATCTTCCTTCGCTCCAACGAAGTGTGACCAGCTAAAGGATAAGAAAATGTAGTGAAGCCATTTTTTGTTTTTGCACGGGTTAGAGCTGACAGGGATATATCTGAAAGTGGTGATATTCTTTCTATATAAGGTGAATGTTCAAATTTCGCGGGCTAAGTACATTCAATTAGCGATTTTTTAAAATGTTTATTATGGTACACTCGTCTCGAACATATGGCATAAAACTTAGAAGTGTTTTGCATGCCCGGCGATTTTTTGCTATCGAAAAAAAAAGATCAAAGAATTTGCAACAAATTCTGTGTAAAAATGGAATTGAGAGCTCAAAACCACTTGAAATGTTGACAGTGATATACGACGAGCCACCGTATTCACCAGATTCGGCTCCCTGCGACTTTTTCCCGTTCCGGTGTTTTGCGACGATTGACGAGATAAAAGTCGAATCGCCTCGTTACTGAATTATTTGCTGACTGATTTTTGGTACTGTAGGATTTGATACCTGCAAGCTTCTGCCAAAGTCAGGAATATCAAGTTTTTACACTTCATAAGTTTAGTTTTCATTTCTGAAATCATCTTAGGCGGTGGGTTTTTAGATATTGTATTATTGTATTGTATTATCATTCAATTAAATACAAAAATTAATTATCAATTCCGTATTGTATTTGTCTGCTTTCAGATAGAAATCATCTATCTGTTTTAATCTTATGGTGATATTCCTTTCCTTTCTTTTCTTTGGGAATTGTTATCAATTCGTTTATTCATATAGGTAGCAAGAGGTATTTTGCAGGCCTATATAAATTTAATTTTCTACGAACAGAGTTAAGCTGATTGAAATTTTCATAAAACTGAACAAAATGGAATTAAATAGGGGAGAATAGATGGCAGTATAATCTAAGACAGTATAATCTACGATCATTCTCACCTGTTCTAATGGTTGATACAGAGGATTGATTTCTTGTCGTCCGAAACTGAAAAAATATCCATAATTTCTGGCCGCTAAAAAATTACAGAATTCTTACCTGTCGTGAAATTCAATGGAAAATTGTGATGTGGTATCCTGTGAATTACTGTACCAAGGAAAAATAAGACTTTTTATTTTTTTGTGTAGTACTTCCAACTTGCTTTTTTGACCAGTATAAATGAACATCAATGTAATGACAAAGCTAGCAATCACGAAAACAGCTATGAAAAGATTGATGTTATTCATATTTGCTGAAAATTTAGAAATGTGTTCATCAATGGTATAGTCAGTGGCTCAGCAAATATTTTTCAGATTTATGTCTGTTCGATTATTTTTTTAGCCATTATGTAAAAGGAAACTGAGGTTCAATAACCTGTTGACTGTTTTTATGAGTTGGCTCAAGTTGAACCGATAATAGTCCTGAATTGTCTATGCTACTCCCTAAATTACTGAGTATGACTATCTGATATCTCGAATGAAAAATTTGCTGGCTTATTGAGTCGCTTTTTAAGAATTAATACTTGTGATAATTGTTCTGCATTTATGTGAAATATTTTTATTATATCTAGTTTGTTATTTTTGTATCTTTTGTTCTCTGCTTGGTTAAATTCTGGGTTGGAATACTTGAACTATGAACTATTGTCTGTTTGATTTCGTTTGGGGATCGTTGACGAAAGAAAATTAATATTTTTATTACAAGAAAACACTCCTGCACGATACAAACAAAGGTTATTCTTGCATATATGTTTCTCGTTCATCCAGGAGCAGGACCATGCTGAAATTAATCGAGCAGTCTGCTGTTAGGGTCTGATCTTTCCTGCACTGATGAGAGGTATTACCTCACCGGTGATCTACTCAATTGATTTCCGCATAGTCCTGCTGCTGGATGAACTAGAAACATCTGCGAAACTAACCTCTGCGAGGTTGGTCAACATTGATGGTGTCGGATACTCAAGGTGATGCAGCAGCAAGATGAAGGCACCTGTACGAAATCTATACCTGATGATGGTTCAGATTCTGCACAGCAAGGCTTTTTCGTCAATGTTTTGGGCCAATCATCGTTTAAGCACCAGCGTTTGCTGACTCGCTCAGGGAAAGGAGTTTATTTTCTCTCTCGATGCAGATTCTACTTCTGCTGCCTCTGAATTAGATGCAAGGCAGATTTATAAAATATCCTGCTCTGAAGAGGCGGCAAGTCGCTTCATGGCTGTACCACCTAGTCTACTAGGTTTGTCAAGCGTTAGTCAAGAGTTAGAGAACTGAAAAGCTCCTGATTCAATGTTAGAGCTGAGGTCATTTGATCATCGTTCATTTCTTTTGTAGATTGAGGGTTGAGTCCTCCAGGTAGTTCATGAGGACTGGATCCTCCAGGAGAAGGAAATATTAAGAGCAGATAGTTGTTGGTTCACAGATGGATCAAAAACACCTTCCGGTCTTGGTGCAGGTATTTTCAGTCGCAGACCCAGGATAGAGATATCTACCTGCCTAGGAACCTATGCGACTATTTCAAGCAGAAATTTACGCTACTGAATCGTGTGCGGAGAGATTGGAAAAATCCAACCTCATACGTAAGTCAATAAAAATATTCTCGGACAATTTAGCGCCATTGGAAGCTCTTGGTTCCTACCGAGCAATATCTAAATTGGTAGCAAACTGCCAAAAACGACTCTCCTCAGTAGGAAGACTTAACAGATTGTCTCTGGTCTGGATTCCTGGCCATACTGGCCTGAAAGGCAATGAGGTTGCTCACTCCCTTGCAAAGGAGGATTCTGCAAGCAGCTTCATCGGACCAGAACCTGTCATTGGCATCGCTTAAGGATTTGCCAAACAAAGATTGAACACCTGTATGGCAAGAAGATTTATGAACTTCTTGCATAATCTTCCAGGATTGGCTCACTCCAAGGCATTTATTCACCCTTCGAAGCTTGATACCAAACAGTTGTTGGATTACAGTAGGGATGCACTACACTGTCTAACAGACCTTCTTACAGGTCACTGTCATTTGAATCATCACGTGCAGAGACTCGGACCGTCGGAAGACAGTGTGTGTCGTCTATGTTTGGAAAATGATGAAACAGTACCTAGAGCACATACTTTGTGCCTGCCCCGCTGGGGACTGAATTAGGTTTTTAGACTTCGGTAGAGCCGTACTCTTACCATCTGACCTGAAAGACCACTCACCATACAAACTAATCGGCTTCGTTAAGAAGCTGGGTTTATTTGGTCGAGTGTGAATAGGTGTGAGCCACAATAAACCTTTGCGGGTTGCGGTGAAGGGTTGAATAGACCCACTCACTTCGCACCTAATCTAACCTACGTCATGCTCCAGAAAGAGTCTCGCGACTTGCCAGGGAGGTCCTCCACGGCATTGTCGTAACAAGACCTTATACGACGAAAGGTCGGTATATCGAAGATTTCGTTAGTGATAATGGGTGAACTAAAAATCTTATATTTTTTTTGGAACCGATACCCACACCTCAGGATGAGGCGTCATTAAGGAGAATTTTTACCTCTACGTTTGAAACCTCACCCGATAGGAGTCTTCTTATGTCCCCTGCTGCAGGGCGGGTAGATTAATTCTTGCATAACTGACGGGACTGTGAAAACCCATGGTGGCTCGAGGATTTATATACCTACCCAGCACACGAGGCTGATGACCATTAGTAGTCGATGCTGCTGACATTGAATTGAAAAGACAACGTTGACTTGACCGATAAATATCGTCGTTACAAATTATGTATGGAACAAAATATTGTTGCAAGTAGGCAAGCCTCCATGTAACAATCGACTAAACACTTCTTTATCTATTATACACGTCGTCAAGAAGGAATAATGGATGTTTTTGAGGAATAATGACGAATATTTGATTTGCTTAGTAAAATTTTCGCGGAGTGTATGAAGCAAATGTACCAATTACTCAAAGTAGATTAGGTAAGGTAAGCTCCAAAGTGAGTGGGTCTATTTGACCCTCCACACCGCCACCCGCAAGGGTTTATTGTGGCTCACACCTATTCACACTTGACCAAATAAACCCAGCTTCTCAACGAAGCCGATTAGTTTTTATGGTGAGAGGTCTTTCAGATCAGATGGTAAGAGTACGGCTCTGCCGAACTTTAAAAACCTGATTCGGTCCCCATCAGAGCAGGCACAAAGTATATGCTCTGCTGTTTCATCAATAATGAGGTATTGTATCAGGAGTTGGAGAGTTGAGAAGCTCTCGCTCCTGATCTAAATTAACAGCGAGGTCAGTTGGAGTCGTAAACTCGACATCCATCTCCTCTGTAGACTCGCTCCTGATCTAAATTTACAGGGAGGTCAGTTGGGAGGTCAAAGTATAGTAATGAAGAAACAACAACGTACATTTTATTGTGCACCCAACACGAAACACTAATCGCAAATTTTCTTGATAATAACATCCAAGATATTGGAAAAATGTCAAAAATAGAAAATATTGAACGGTTGAACACCCAGAAAAATATTCAATAATTTGATCATCTTTGATGTAGTTCGTAATGCGTTTATAAATATCAGTTTTTGTGGGTCATTAAATCAGAAAATGAATTGCTTTTTACATTCATACTGAAATATTCTGGAAAGTGTGTTTTTATATCCTACAAATGAAAGCAATATATCATTTTTTTCTCCTCATTTCCTAAATAAAATAGTGGACAAGTTGGCAGTAAGTTATCTATTAGCCCATTGAGATTCGCTGCCACCCTGCAAATTTTTATTTATATTGGATATAGTACAACCACAGTATAACTACGAAGTCGTATTTACTTTTATTGAATATACGTACATTCTGAAGTCTACAGAAATCATTCGAAATAAATTTATTAATAATGGAGACATTCAATAATTCAAAACAGGTGTGATTTCAAATTTCACTGATTTAACAATATTCATGACGAGTGATAATGTAAACCCTAAAAATTAACCAGGCATTTGGCAATGATAGTGTTAATGAACGCACTGTTTGACGTTAGTTTGCGATATTTCATTCGGGAGATTTTTGCCACGAAGATGAGCCTCGAAGTGGTCAACCTACGGTAAACTAAGATGAGGATTCGAGGACCCTGGTGGACACTGACTCATCACAATCGATGCATGGGGTGGCGGACGAATTGGACATCAGCTCCCATGCGGTTTTTGATGGTTTAAAATGTATTGGAAATATCAAAAAGCTCGTAAAGTGAGTTCCCCAAATCGTCACGCGTATGATGAAAAGTTAATCCTCTACGCTAACAGGAGAAGTTTAACCAATTGAACGTCGAATTCTGCCTCACCCACCATACTCTCCAGACCTCTCACCAGCCGACTACCATCTTTTCAAGCACTTCGGTAATTTTTTCGCCGGTAGAACTTTCCCCAATCAGGACCAAGCATAAACGTCGAATCCCGAGCACTAAATTTTCATCCTGACAGCTTATGGCTTACTTTTCATTTTCCTCTTCACGGAAAACTTTCAATAATAATTGGTACGATATGAAAATGTGAAGATGTGAAAACGGAAAGAAAAACGAAAAATCAACTACTGATTAAAAAAAAGGAGAAAACGACAGGCAACAAAACTTTTGAAGCAACCTAATACCATATACAGGCCGTCCAACGAAAACTTGACGGAATCGGACGTATAACCGAAAATTTCAATCAAGACGTCAATTTTTATTTCTAGGGGGACTAATTTTGATATGGAAATCATACCCGAAACTTCACCCCCATGTGATCAGCAACTACCCCCCTATTTTATTCAAAGGCATGGGGGTCGAGTGGTACATCATTTGAGAGTTCTTTTGCCCCTCTATCACTATCGTAATTTTTTTCGAAATTAGTTCATTTCTTATTGAGAAATTAAATGTTGAACGTTTTATTTAATAAAAAGCAGAAAGTTCGTTGTCGTTCATTTTAATGAGAAAAGCAACAATAAATAATATCAGAACCAATTTCGAAAAAAATTACAGAGATAATAGAGGAATAAAAGACGTTTCAATTGATATATCACTCGACCCCACATGCCATTGAGAAAACTAGTGGTGATAGTTGCTGACCGCAGGGGAGTGAAGCTTCGAGTATAATTTTTATATCAGAATTGGTCCCTCTAGAAATAAAAATTGACATGCTCTTTGAAATTTTCGATTACATGTCCGTTTCTGATTTACAGGGTAGGTCAAGTTTTCGTTGGAATGCCCGGTATATCATATATTCATTAGTTTGTAGATATTTAAATGTTAAAAAAACACAATCTCTTAAAGAACAATCATATCCAAAGAACATAAACATTCATCATTTTTCAGGAAAATATTTAAGACTGAATGCATTTACTCACAACTGCATTCCTACTATTTTCAATTCAGTATCCAGCTTTTTAGTATATTGTGCTATTAAGGTTCCATCTGAAATCTGAGAAAGTTTCTTTATTTCCAAAAGTGGGTCACACTCAAATTGGTTTGTAACATCTGAAAAAAATGTGACAGTATAATAATTAATATAATTTGCATAAGAAATAATTCCTATCAAATATATTAATTCATTTCTATCTAGAGATATAGATAATTCAAAAAAAACTTTTTTTTGAGTGTCTCTCGTCCCATTTGACTTTATAAAAACAAACGAATAGCCTGAAAAAATTCTAGAACAGATAAGTTTTTTGTGACGAAAGCTTTTCTGTTTTCTACTTCCCCATCATTAAACAAAACATGGAAACATTTTTTTCTCTGGAAGTTTTCTATTTATTTTTTTCATTTATGGAGAAGTAAAATGCAAAAAGCTTTTTTTTTTTACTACAAACTATTCGACCTAAAGCAGTTTACAGGAAGTATGAAAAACCAAATCAGATGTTTGATAAAAATTGAATTACCATGTTTTATGAATCTTGAAAAAATACTAAATGTGCAGGTGCTGTTTGTGAATTCATCCCCAGATGTACCATAAGTGATATTGAGTGTATAGGATTCGTTGACATTTAAACTTTTTATCCAAAAGAAAAGTGTTTGTTGGCCGTAATCCAATTTCATAAAGTCAGCAGGAACTTTCATATTGGTTCTATCTGAAATACTAACAAACGACTGTGGTTAATTAAAAATGAATGTAATGACGAAAGTTGGGATATTTTTGGAGACATTAACAACAGTAATAACAAAGTTGATTTGAAAAGAAATCATCCCAAAAAACGGAAAACAATCTTTTTCCGTTTTCAAAACCCAAAGTTTCCTTGAAAACTCTCGCACCAATTATAAGAAGCTGTATTTTATTCATTTTTCAGATTGTGAAAGGTTTTATATAAAAAAGCAGTAACAAACAATTTGGAACTCTTTCTTAAGCTAACTGAACATCTTGAGAAAAAATAACAGGGCATGGCAAAAAATCCGATAATCAACTGACAAAAAATTTAAAAAAGGGGAAGTTGATCAGCAAAATCAACTAGAAAAATAGCCAATAGTTTTTACTTCAACATTCGACTGAAAAAAAATCTGCAGTCGTATCTACTAACCAGAACGAATTGAAAATTAATATTTGGTCAACCCAAACTTGCATAAAAATGATCAGATATTCGATTAATCACCAGCAAGCAGCATTTGATGTCCTTGATTCACTGTTTTTTTCTTTTCCGTAGATTTCAGCAGAAATTAAAAATTTTATAGGTTATTACGAATGATCTGAAATGAGTAGAAATTCATAACCCTATAATTTTGAAAATCTCTAGCTAGGTAATTGTGAACTCCATACGCTATAATATAATGATGGAGAGCTTTAGCTTCCTTTCTAAAGGAAATTTCCCACATTTTTGTATGAATACAATGGAAAAATAGAAAACCAAAACCCCCTATTTGCCAAAAATATACCCCTTTCAATTTAATATAAGAATAATATTGATCTCATTATTACTGTTTTATTACTGTTCACTTACAACTCCATTTTCTTAAATTTGCACTCTCTATCTTTCATTTTTGTATATTTCACTTCGTAAATGTCTTCTGAATTCTGTATTCCATCAATAATTTCCAGTATTGGTTCACATTCATCTGAAAAATATTGATTATAATCATGAATGATTCATTCAATAAACAAATCAATGAATAGTTTAACTAACAAAAACACAAACATTCTTTTTACAATGCGGCTAATTCAATGAAAACTTGAATATAGACGAATGTCATAAATTTACTTTACTCCTAAACAAAAATCCTGTAAATAGTCCATATGAAATAAGCAATCGAAAATGGAAACAACAAATACAATCAAAGATCCTGAATCTTGGCCTCTTGGCCCAAAAATGTTATTCAAACCCCGTATTGCAAATGTTACTTCAGAGTACTGAAAATGTTACGTTTCACTCTTAGATCTGCAGAGAAATTATTTCTCTCTTGAAATCATATACAATGTGTCTCAGCTAAAACTCGATTTGGGATTGAATTTCCATCAAAATGACGTATCACAAGTATAGTAATCCCATTGAAAATTCTGAAGTAGGGACTGCTAGGGATGAGAGGGTTGACAACACAATGACGATGTATTTGGTGAAAGTGTTTCCCCTTGAAATAAACATCGACGGGTCTGAGCCATTTTCAATTTTTTCACGATCGCAGAACTACGAACTACAACCCGCAGAAGTCGAAACTTGTGAGAGCTAAGGACTAACGAGGTCTTACCGTTTAACATGTGATTCCTAACACGGGTTTGGCGATAGCAAGTGAAAATCTAGCGTTCAGCCTGGGGCTTGAACCATCGACTCACACATCGGCCGACTGACTGAGTGAACAAAGCATCCACCTCGAACCACCCGGCTACCGACCGATGTTCAACACACCAATAATTTTTCAGCTTTCAAGTAACACTATCAATTTTCAGCTTTTCACGACCAAACACCACGGATATTGAAATTATTTTACAAATCTTGCTATTTAATTCAGATTCCACCTTCGATTATTTCATTTATGTATAGCTTATACTAATTTATTGATATTTTATATTTTAACGTTTCTCCAATTTAAGCAGCTAACTTAATTTTTAAATTCCTCAAAATATTTATATTGAAGTTATGTGGTTAAAAATCAAATAAAATATGATTCACCGAGTTCATTCTGAAGACATTTCCTGTAAAAAAAAACGTTCCCTACAAGTGGCCATCGATGGATATCTCTCGAAAACTTTCACCATCAACACTGGTGTTCCCCAGGGATCCATATTTTCTTCAAATCTCTTTTATTGTATATCAACGACTTATTGGAAAAAACCAACAATCTAATATATTGTGTTGTTGACGACAGCACACTTGTCTCGTCATTCCATTTGGATTCCACGACATCGGCTACTGAGGCACATCTTCATCTGCAGCAGAAGGTTGCATATCTTGATAAGGATCTAGAAGTGATTTCAAGTTGAGGTGAAAGTAACCAGGCCACAAAAACCCAGGCATCGGTTTTCTCCAAAAAAATAAATGTCTCCAAACCGGATACAATAAAGTCAGGTCAGACAATTCCGCTTTCTGCTTCGATAAGTTTGTTGGGGGTTAAAATGGACACCAATATGTCTTGGCACAATCATGTCGCTGCAATTGCAAAGGTTGCTTCTCAAAAGCTCTGACCCAGAAAACTGTGTACACCTCAGCAACTTTTGATGCTTTATAAAGCTCAGATCAGACCTTCTTTGGAGTATTGTACATATGTATGAAGCTCCGCTTCTAAGCATAACCTGAAGCTGCTGGATTCCATCCAGAAAAGAGCCATGCGCCTGATTGGAGACGCGAACATCACGTTCAACCTTGATAGGCTGGAACATCGAAGATGGGTTGGAGATTTGTCTCTCTTTCACGGAAAGTGTTCAAGTGACTTGGCACATTTCATTCCACCAAGAGCGTTACATGTCATAAACACGCGACGGACTGTTGCTGCTCATCGTTTTGAGGTTCGACTCAGTACACCTCGAACTTCACTGTATAAGAACACTTTCATCTGGAGAACTGCGTTTATGTGGAATAAACTTCCTGAGAACGTTTTTCCAAATGGATTTAATGTCCAGCGATTCAATTACAATGTGAATCGTTACTTTCGCACAGGTACTGCTCTGAGAGAGCATTTTCCTGTAGTGCTTGAGTTTTGTCTTTTGAAAAAATGAATAATATGAGCTCTGATGCTGCAGTGTTTTTCTAAGAAATAATCAAGTGAGGCCGTTACCACGTAGCAAATAGTGAAGGTTTTTTTTTGGGCACCTGGTATATTCTTTTCGTCACATAATGTTGACTGTATTATTGGAAATGAACAGGTATTCAATACACCGGATTGCGTATTTTATTAAATTATCGTTATTGTTCATAAACTTCATGGTAATAAAAAACTATAGATAGCTTACTTATTCATTCACAAAAAAACATCGAACATATGGACTGGTGAATTATTTGATGATGATTCGAAATCAGTTAATCCGATAGCTAACAAACAAAAATTTATATCTATAAATTATTAAGGCATAATATTTACCTGGCGATATGGTGCTGTTGAGGGACGCAACCTGGAAAATAGGAAAATGATATCAGTAGATCAGATTCATTATTTATGATCGAGGGTTACATGCAGGTGTTATTCTAGCAGTGATAATATTCACGTTTTGATAAAGCTATAAGTAGCATCGATATTAATGACGAATTTTTAGATATTTCATCTCCGCAATAAAAAATATCTGTTTGAATCAAAGTAAACTCAAATAAGAGATAAATAATCACCAATATCCAATAAATGATGTTAATACATATACACTCACAAATTTTTCTCACCTAAAAGTACTTCTGGGAAATTGCAATTAACAATACATTTCTGTATATGTCCTTATTGTTACAGGTGTATTCGGTATTCAATTGCACTAATACTAATATTAAACGAGTCTGAAGAAGTGATTGCATAGTGAAACACGTGTTGGAATTTTGTAAACTATTCAGTGAAAATTTCAACTATCTCTGTGTAATTATTTCTAGAACTACTTTCTACAAGGAATAACATGACTGATATTCGATGTTTTTAGCTAAACAAATCGTCTAACCAAATATTCAGTTTTTTTCAAGATTTGGCAAAAGACCAGAATGAATGAGACAAATATTATGTCGGGCTGGCTATTCAGCTTTTGTTTCCCTACTCATTGAACTAACCTATTCCCTGCAATTCTTTTCATTTATTGATCGCAATCTTTCTTTGGAAGATTCACACATTTTCATTTTTTTGTGTAAAGATGGAGAAATAGAAAGCCAAAATCTTTATTTCCCAAAAATTGATTTCTCCTAAAAACATATCCCCTTCAATTTAAATAATATTGNAACTTTGGGATCAATCAGCCGTATATTGTTCAGAAAAATGACCATTGATATTTTCCGATTCCGGAGAGGGAGCCTGAAAATCAGCTACCAAGCCCAAGGCAGCAGGCCCGCAAAGGAGGGTTAGAAATAAGGCAGCAGGCGCGTGTTAATAAAAAAAATAATGTTTTCAAATGAAGAAATACATGTAAAGTGAGTTCGAATTATATCAAGGAGGTTGCGTACAGCGCCATCTGCCCTTGAATAGATCAAGCAATAATGTCAATAATTGTCAAATACAGATCCCGATATGAAATGAAAACGAGAGTTACAAAGAAACATACATACATACAGGGGAAGCTAATATAAAGCGTGTAAAAAATGGTGGAAAAGTTGAATATGGGATATCGCTGATGAATTTTATAGAGATCACAGTGATCATTTATTAAAGACAATGTTTTGATTTGCTACAAAGGAAAAAAGTAATTTGATACATTTGAAGTATATTTAATTGGTCTGAGTAATAATTTTTTCATCATAAGATATTTGTATTGAATTCAAGAAATCGATTTATTTCAATGGAATTAAGTATACATTGGAAATTGAATTTTGCTAACTATTCAGATGAATGCATTCAGTTATTTTAAGTCGAAACTTTAAAATTCGACGTTTTTCCAAAACAATATTTTTCACTTTCTCAACATTTTCATCTTTTGTTGATGAGCTGAAACGTCCAGGGCCAGTGTCGACATTCACATTTTCTGGACGTTCAATAAAAAGCTTGAACCACTTGTAAACTTTTTTCTGACTCAGAGTAAAATCACCATATGCAACTGTCAACATTTCAAGTGTTTTAAGTCCTTATTTTCGTTTTTACACAAAATGTTATGCAAATTCTCAACTCTGGAACAATAAATGTTTACTGTCGATCGTATGAACCGAGCTAGAGTCGCACGTTGAAAAGTAAAACCTTGTTGATCCTTAACTCCAACAAGTTTCGGCTACTATGAGCTGTTGTCTTTCACCAAATAATTGTGCAGAAGAAGCAGAATCCGCATCAGAAAATAATCACGTGTGCTCAAACGATAATTCACCTAAACCAGAGGGGAAAAAGTCCAGTATGGCTGAATCTTATGTATCGTTATGTATAGTTGATAGAGCTAGTACCATATTGTTCCATGATGTGAGCCATAATCATTTATTTTACTCGAATATTCGATCTATACCTACTGAGTAAAAAAAAGTAAATTGCACATGCATATCGCATGAATTATTATATCTAATCCTTGAGGAATTTTGAACATTACAAAAAAGCACGTGACAAAAATGATAACAACAAAATTGAACTCCTGAAGAAATGTGATGGAATTGGCAGATACTTGATGAAAAACAATAACGGAAAAAACAGAATAGATAAAAGAAAAATCAAAATGGGAGAGGCAAATAAAATGGAGAACCCAAAATTACAAAGGATTTGACTTATATGTTTGAATTGGTAGGACAAAAACAGGGCCGGAATTAGGGGAGGCCAGGCGAAACTACAGGAGAGGAGCCCCCACGATAAAGATGAAAAAAATCCAAATTTTGACGGATCAACAACGTATTCGTTTTTCCTTCCAAATATTTTTTTTGCATTTTTACTAAGAATACTTGCACAAAAATAATAATATTTTCATCGATATATCAGAAAGTTTCCATTTACTATCAATTTTTTATTTCATCAAACAATTCAGTAGCAATACTTTTTTAATGTCTAATTTGTAATTTGTACCCATGAGTTGAAGAGAAATAAAATAAATTAAAAAAAATTGGTTGACCCTGGAGGTCATCCTTACAACTATCCGCTTCTTCGAGCTCAAAATTTTAAAAATCACTTGAATGAAAATTTTCAATTCTATTAAATGTTTCGATTTTCGCCCAATTACCCTTTTTTGAAAATATTAAATTTTTTTAGCTGGAAGTTAAAACTTCAACTCCAATATAAAAAAAGGGGCCCATTTTTAAAAAAAAATTGGGACCTCCACTCTTTCGTTGCCCCAGGGCCTCCAGACTTCCAAATCCGGCGCTGCACAAAAATACCATTGTGAACCACAACTCTGGAAAACAGTCGTCGCTACATCGCTATTGACATGACCAGTGGGCTGTTGATATTGATATTGATAGACTAGGAATATCGATATGTTGAAATTTATTTGAACAGTCACGATAAGTAAAATAATCTTTCGCAAATATTCGTTCTGGAATGGAGAGCAAATGATGTACACAATGAACAGATAATCGTGTAATCTATAAATATGCTATCATGGATGTCAGTTTCAATATTTCTAGATATCATGAAAAGGATATTTATTTCACTTGATATGATAATGTGATTTTTTCGTTAAGAAAAATGTGCGATGGCCAAATTGTTCAAAATTGTTCAAAAAAAAATGTACATATTTGCTACATCATCAGGCATATCATAATATCCTATTAGTTCATGATTCCAAAGCCGTCAGTCATAGATACGTCAATTTGATAATAGGTACATAACGTGTAGTTCCTAATGTTATATCAATGTTATTAGTAAAAAGGACATGGAGAATGGGAAAGAGAGAGACAGAGAATGAGAGAGATTTAAAACTAGTGTTGGAAATGAATGAACACGCTTGTGTACATTTTATGATGACTGATTTTTCCGATTGTGAATGATCTTATTAGTATCAAAACCAAGTAAAAACGTCTCCACTGACATAACTTTCAAGCAATAATGTATCTGTAAGTTTTTAAATTACCAATAAAATATCTCTAAAATATACCTACTACAAAATTACCATAACCTGAAATTTTTTCAGGTTATGGTAAACACAAATTTTTCCAAATCAAACTGACTCTTTTAAAATTATCTGTCATTATTATTGGTGACACATCATGGGTAGATATATGTTTATGACATCGAAACCAAAGTCCAATCGTCCCAATGGAAGAGAGCCCAGCAAAAGACCAGTCAAAGAGCCAAGACCAAAATAAGTACGCAAAGTTCGATCAAATTTCAAGGTTTTGCTCAGTTTTCTTGGATTACCATGGCATAGTGTATCAGGAGTCCTTGCCACATTGTCGTACGGTCAATAAGGAGTATCATTCTGAAGTTATGCGCCGCTTGCGAGAAGCAATACGAAGAAAACGTTCGGTATAGTGGAGAAACAATTTGTGGCTTTCGCATCACGATAATCCACCAATTGCCAAAAACAATACCGTAATCATGTGCCAGCCACGGTATTCACCAGATTTGCCTCCTGCAATCCAAGATTGAAGAGACTCATGAAAGGACGGCGTTTTGCGACAACAGAGGAGATAAAAACCGAATCGCTGAGAGTGATCAAGGACATTCCAAAAGGAACATATCGGAACTGCTTCGAAAATTGGAAGGAACTATGGATATAATGTATTATATCTGTGGGGCCTACTTTGAAGGGAACGAAATAGAAATTTATGAATAAATAAAAATTTTTTTAGAAAAATTATAAATTCACCTTATTTTTCCTAAATTTCAAAAATTTTGTTGAAAATGAATTTGTTCTTTCCTAATCTGCCTTCCGCATATCTTCAAACCATATTCACGAATAAATAACCGAAAATTTGGGAAATTTATTGTCATATTGTCAATCGATTTTAACATTATATACACATCTGTGAGCTGATTTCGTACCTGTGTCAACAAATATGGATAAACATTCAGAATGAGATCCTTCACAGTTATTCATTTACTATTATTATCAAACAATTTCCCAGAATTCGCAAGACGAGACTTTATCCGCGACGAACTGTTGGATTATGTGCGTTTACTACCGTTTCATGGTTTTCTGTTTTCGTAGATAACACAGCGGCAAATCGTTCGATATAAATCTCCAAATAGATTAGAATAAGCTTAACCGTGCTCAATTAATGAGAACTCAAATATTTCGAATAAGGAAGCGCAGAAGGGTTACACCTGAACAAGCTGTTGTATAGCGAAACACGTATTGCATTTTCGTAAAACTATTTACTGAAACGCGGTTTTGGTGATAATCCTAATCTTGCATTAAAGTCTCTCTTGAATACGTTATGGATTTTCATCAAATATCAAAACGGACTCCAACATTAAACTCTTATAAGATCTTAATATTGAAAATTTTGAATATGTTCATCATCTGCAAAAAATCATAAGTATAACCGAAGAAAATCGTTAGGCTGTGTTAGTGGCAGTAGTTAAGAGTCTGTTGGTAAACTTGAATATATTTACGTTGGTGGAATTGAGATAACCAAAATGTTTTCTTCGAAGTTAACAAAATCAGCTGGTCATTATCATAAAGTAGTGTCAAAAGGCGATAAAATATTCCTCAGAAATATCAGTTTGAGTTTTATAAACAACAAAATGAGTGATTGGAGAACTGAAAAACGAAAATTTCTTTCGATGGGTACCGAGGAAAAAAGAAAATTTTACAAATCGAGCCAACAGCTAGAAGAAATTCCTACTTGGAAAGAATATGCCAAAGGAAAAAAATTGCTACCAAAAATAGACCTCTTATCAGGGCACAAGATTGACCCCTCGAAAAATGCCGTTTTGTCCGATAAAATTTCATATTTTTCGGGGGATATAACTTGTCTGGAGGTAAACAAGAATTCCTGAGTTCTGATCTTTTTTCTCATATGTAAAAAAAATTGGTTTAAAGCTATTAAACTTCAAAAAAATGTTGCTTGAAAGTTTTTCTGTGCATTATTTGACTGATGGTATGTATTGATAAAGTTATTCAATTTTTCAAAAAATTAATTTGAAAAATTAATTGAAAATATGTATGTATATTTTAATGTACTAATTGGACAATGATAGTGATAGTTTTAATTGAAGCCGTTGATGTAAATATAGTCATTGATGTATTATCAATTTCCAGATTGATGCAATAGTCAATGCAGCAAATGAAAGTTTACAAGGAGGTGGTGGAGTGGATGGGGCCATTCACAGAGCTGCTGGAAAGATGCTAAAAGAAGAATGTATAACTTTGGGAGGCTGTTCCACTGGAGAAGCAAAAATTACTGGTGGTTATAAATTGCCTGCTAAGTGTGAGTTCCATAATTAGTTTTTCATAAATTTGAATCACGAGTTAAACCTTTCTTTGCTGCTTTGTGCCTCCTTTGTTATTAGTCATATACAATAATTCTTATAGAAAATTTTGTACTATGTGAAATTGAGTATAAAGCATACTTGGCTACTATGCACTGTTTGAGATTTATAAACAGTACACCTTTAAAACATATCATGAAGAAAAATGCAGGGGTGGTAGTTATGATGAAAACTTGCATTTTCACTCCCAACAAAGTTATTATTAGCTGATATAATGTAGGGTTGGATCTCTCTAGCAACTGAATTGATAATTTAGATTTTTTAATATACAATATCTGTGGACGTTTCTATTTAAAAATAATTTTGCCAGACTGCACACTCTTACCCAAGTTATACATTAATGACTTTTATTTCAACTGGTAGATCAGCTACAACTCCCTGCAATTTAAATTGATTTTTACAGATGTTATTCACACAGTTGGTCCAATCGGAGAAAAACCTGATAAGCTCAAGAACTGTTACTCCAACAGCTTGAAGGTCATGCTGGAAAATAATCTGAAATCAGTAGCGTTCCCATGTATTTCTACTGGAGTTTATAGGTATCCAAATTTGGCTGCAGCTCATGTCGCAGCATATGCCGTCAGACAGCATTTGGAATCAAACACAGAAGCAGTTGACAGAGTAATATTTTGCTTGTTTATGGATGAAGACAAAAAAATATATGAACAACTGTTGCAGTCTTATTTTCCACTGGAATAATTTTCATGTCTATTTATAAGGGTATATTCCTAAGTGTCAGTTGTTGCATAGAAAAATAACTTTCGGAATTTATCATTTTAAGTTATGTTTTTTACAGTTTTGGTTATTTTTGTATTATCCTCTGTATGTCTAGTTATTTATAACATACTTTCAAGTAATCAAACCAAATGACTGCATATTTTATATAAGAGATGTAATAGAGGAATTATAGTTATGAACATTTTCCCAGTGGTCTTTTATTTTTTTCATAATAAACATTTCATCAGATCTTAAGCGTGACATATCATCACCATTACTTTCAATAATTTTGGGTTAAGTTTCAAAAGTGTAATTGTGATGTCATGGCCGTTTTTTCAAAAGAAAAGAAAATCTAATAATATTTGTAAGATATAATATAATAAAAATGTTGATATTGATTTTGAATGTTTTGGTTTTGGTTGTTAAAAATAGTTCCAATTGCTTAGGTTTTCATAAAAACATACATCCTCTGGAATCTAATCTCCCACATCAGATAAAATAGGAGCAATGATTTAACAGAAAAGGCTTATGGCATTAGTATATAGACTTTATAATATCAAATCTATACAAAGTCCAATAACCTGAAATCAAAAGAACTACGTATGTTATTTTAGTAAAGCTGATATTTTGACAATGATGTAATATATAGGTGAGAATGTGGGTTTTTGCTTGTTTGGAAGCGGATCTGTTATTAATTTAACTACATAAAATTTAAGAACATTTTTATTAAATTAACAAATGTAATATTTCGTAGAAATGTCTCTTCAACAATTCATTATTTTCCTTGAGGTAAGCACTGCCACCTTCTGACCATGGTTTCCTCAAATAAAAACCATTTTAGCACAGAACAATGGCACAGAATACTACACAATATTCTGTGATTAGGTTAGGATTATTCTCGCGCGGAAGATCATCTTCAAATTTTTTAAACATTAATTTCTTGTGGGAGCTCAACTTTGAAGTCAAAAATTACGTCCCAAGAAATGTTCTCATCGTAATGATATCGAATGCCTTCACTATTCAGTTATCTATCGCAATACATATTTTTCAGAAATTCTCTTTGATGCTATCTTGAATTGAAATCACACACACGATGACACAAATCATCGGAAATATTAATTCTGAATAAGCCAGCCGCTCGTGCTGGCGAAACGTTAGGATGCAGTTCCAAACTATGATGGCCTTCAAATTCGAATGAAAATAGTAACACTGAAAATCTCGGCCGCGAAACCCTTAACCGCTTTATCAAATTTACATAAAATAGATTTTGAAAATATGTCGGAAAGTCGACGAAACTCAAAACCAATGTGAAAATACATGGTAAATGAATACTTAGATCCAGCGATGAATCGCAATTGGAATCTCTTCAACCTCACTAATGAGGTTTACTGGTTCTTCCGAATAAACAACGGGAAATGTCATTCTTTTTTCGGAATCGTAGCAAAAAAACGTACCTAATGCCTTACTTTCTTAACTTTTCTTCTTGACAATCTGATTTTGAAGACGAAGAATTTGACATGACAGTATGACAGATTGTGCTTTGTAAATTGTAAATAAACAATTCCTAGAATAAGTAGGGTCGAATCACAAATGCGTTGTTTGGGCTCTGGTTTTCCAATTCCTTGAATGTTTTCTTGGAGATAATTACCATTTATGTAGTAATTAGTAATATAATCCACAAAATAACGATGGCAACACAAGAAAAACTCCAGAAATCTCTGGAGGCTCTGAAAAACTTATCAAAACACAATCAACCATCTGAGCAATCCAAGTAATAGTAAGTGTATTTCATCTGGAACTCCACTGAATTATTTCTTTTCAAGGAAAAAAGAAAAAGTACAATTTTGTTACAATGTAACAGAAGCTATTTCTAATCCTACCATCAGAATTTCCCCAAACTTCCAAACACTCTTAGGGATCAGTGTGGAAACCTTTCTTTTACTATGTGATGATCAAGATGCTGATATACGAATGACCAGCGAAGAATGCTTGAACAGAATCATTAGGGTATGCTATTATAAATTTTTGTATTAGACCTATTTATTTTTGTCTGCTGATCACGAAACTGAAGTCAAGACAATGCGCTCTGGTCTATTCAATGTTGAAAGTGTTGAAAAGTCAACTATTTCAGGAATCCATTGACAATCAAAACTGATGAAATGATACCTTCTCTTCATGATCATATGTTATGGACCTTCATTTATCCATTTCCATAGAAAAAAATCAAGTGGCAAGCAAGTAAAGATTTCTAGCATACTATTTTGAAAGGAAGATATAATTTCAAGAGTTTTTATTATCAGAAATGGTTTCTTGAAATAGTTGATTTATTTGAGTAGTTGTGCCTCCGAAAGTTTTGATTTCAGATTCATGATCAGCGGACAGAAATACGTAAGTGTAATGAAACATTTTACTGAAACTAGTGCAAGCCACTGGTAAATAATCACCATGAAAATAGAGACACTTTTTGCTCATCTATACGTTCAATTTTTAGGCTGCAGATGGCTACGTAGGCAAGATTCAAATAGAACTCCACAAAGAAATAAAAAAGAATGGAGCAGTCAGACCCCTCAGAGCTGCCTTGTGGCTGTTTTCAGCTCTTGCCCACAATATACGGCCACACAAAGGAAAGCCTTATGCTGCAAACATGTTTCCAAATTTAGTTGAAATTGCCAAGCGAACTGAAGAATCATTGCATGAAACTTTGGCAGCTAGTTTACCTAAAATAATGAAAGCTCTTGGATGTTTCACCACAGAAAATGAAATAAAAGTGGGTATCTGAAGTGAATTTAATGTGATCTTATTAATTTTTCATGTTTTAGATTCTCCTGAAAGCTTTCTTAGCAAATATTTCCAATGAATCAGCTGTTATCAGAAGAACTAATATAAACTGTATATTAACAGTCTGTGCACATTGCAGGAAACCTGATATATTATTATCATACTGCCTCAGTTATCTTCTAGGTATGTTATGTCTGATAATATGAAAGATTAGGTTGCTATGGTAATTGAAAATTATTGCAGTATAATTCAGTATCAATATCCAGCCGGGAGAGATGATTATTTCTAGATTTTTATTTTGAAATATTTATTTTCTTATGTGTATGTATCTCTTCTTGATACAGTCTTCACACACGTTTTGATCTCCGTTACAAATGTTGTAGTTTTCAAGTTTGTAGCCTTGCTTCTTTTGGACTTAATATGTTAGTATCGAAGTTATTTTCAATTTTATCACCAAAAAAGTCTTCCTCTTTTTCTTGGTGATTGAAACATATGTTGAGGTGTTAAAATAACGGTTTTTTGTTGGGAAAAAACTCCAGTAATATTCATTACTACACCAAAGGTTCCAAACAGTGCATCACAAGTCATTGGTACATATCAAAAATAACAGTAGCCCTCAGACACTACCCTGGGACACTCCACTTTTGTAGTCACTGGATTTGTAAACTCATTTTGATCTGATTTGTTGTTTGAAAGTTAATTAGTCTTGAAAAAAATTGATACAGTGTCTTCAGTCCCTATGACTGAATTTTTTTCAATGAAATATGTTTGTCAAAAGGATGAAGTCTCATGTAAATGATCAGTTAATGAAAAATATAATTTTTGATTGGAATGTCTGTATGGCAACATCATTTCTAACTTAATTCTATAATATGACTGGGTAAAAGTAAAAATTAGATCCAGCATAAACTTACTTTATATTCGTGATCGTACTAATTTGGATAACAACAAATTATCTAGAATTTTTTTGGGAAAAATGCCCTTGTTTGTTGTTGTTGTTGTGACTTACAACTTAAGACTAATTTGAAGTGAAGCCACCTTAATTGTATTTTTCTGTGGATTGAAGCCTATAATAGAAAATCCAACTACATAAATTGTAACTAAAGATTGACTTGTGTGCCAATCGTAAATCCCAAGAAGTTGAATTTTAAATTTTCAGTAGGAACAATCAGGCAGGAGTCGTAAGATTTTATAACTTAAGTCTCAATATTGAATGAATCCGCCTTAAGTTTATCTTTTAGTGGTTTTGATCAAGACAAAAATCCATTCAAGTTGATGAGAATGTGTAGCAATGATACTGAAGTACAATATATGTTTTCTTTTGTAGACCAGCTGATTCCTGTCACTGAAGATAGCTCGTGTTCACTGATTCTGGGAGCGATGTCTTGCATTAAATCTTCAATACCAACCTTGCTCAGTACAAATAGTGATTGGAATGAAAAAACTAAGGCTTCCATTAATGAACAATTATTGCAGGTTTTTGAGTTGTGTCTACATTATTTGAATTATAAAGATCATAACGTAGTCAATGTTTGTTTAGAAACCCTAAACGTTCTGCTGCAAAACTGTCCCAGAGATTTGAGACCAATATTTCTTTCTAATAAGGGGCTTGGCTGTCAGAGAATATATACCACAAACAATACGTCTGATAGTTTGAAGCATAGAACTCCAAGTAAGTAGGTTTTACAAAAAAATTTCAAGTTATTATACGTTATATTATTGAAGGTCAGCTCAGCGTAGCTACAAACTTAACAGCTGAAGATAACTTATTTTCCGAGTCTGAATTGACCGAAACACTTCATTCCGACATAGAAAAATGGATTGACGAATCCAAGTTATCAGTGATGAATATTACTTTTGCAAAAACAAAGGAAAAATCCGTATCATTGGATAAAGTGAATAATATTGGGACAGAAACAGAAAGAAATCTGGATACCTGTGATTATGGGAAGATGAATGAACTGAACAGAGAAAACTTTGTTAGCAAACTGAAAACTCACAGCATGGAGAATACATTGGATATACTCAGTCTAAGTGATAATTCCTCAGAAAAAAGTTTTTCGTTAAGTACTGACGATAAAATTGTTAATGTAGACGAAGAAATTCTGGTAAGAATGTTACTATTTCTATCACAAATCAATAACACAAACAGTGTATCAAGTATACTAGTACTTTTAAAAAAAACCTGATTACCTTTAGTATACAAGGAAACAATTGGTAATTTATCACAAGACACCAAAGTATCTATAATATTTCTGATTAACATCCAATTTTTCCAATTTATATTTTGATTTTCCACCCAGTAGGTGTATGGCCAAGACAAGAATGAATTTTATCTTCAAATTTTGAATAATATAGGTGATTCAGATAAATATAACAATATTGGACCCAACGCAGAACCTCGTGTCACTTTATACTCAAATATTCACTTTTTACTTGACGTTAAATTCATTGCCGAATTCTGCCGGTTAAGTATGTCTCAGGTGAATTATTATTTAATGAATTTATCTATCGTTACCTCAGGTGTCAAAAACCATTTTCCTTACATTTATTATAAATATTTTCAACACATTTACCTACTTTCTCAGATTTCTGTTATATATGATTCTAAAAATTTAATTGTTTTTTTCAGGAAATTGACATTGGCAATATTTCAGATGAGGTACCTCTAGTATACTGTATTCGAATGATTTCAAAACTTTTCTTACTTAGTGGAACTACTGGCGTTTATGCCTCGGATAAAACGGTCAGAGTTTCTGTCAAATTTCTATCTTTATCCTGCTTATCGACCATTTTTCAATTGTACCCTACTGGATTTTTCATCTATTTGGATAAAAACTTCACGAGTAGTTCAAATTTTTCGGGTAAAAAAATCAGCAAGCAGGGCATATCTGACGTACTCTTATTCAGGAATCATCCGGATCCGCAGTTGAGAGGTGCTGTCAGGACTTTGATAGGTAGTTTTCTGAAAACCGTATCCAGCTTGTGTGAGGGTGGTTACGAAGATTGGATTGTTTCAAATTGTGATGCTGTCGATCATACTAGGATGTTACAAACTGAAAAATTTGTCAGTATTTTCATAGAGGTGAGACTCAATTTCGAATATCACAGTATTCAGGAAGTATTCTATATATTCAATAAACATTTTGTTCAAAATTACTCTAAAAAATAAATTTTTCTGGATATTATGAATTCATATGGATTTAAGTAGATGTGTTCAATAAAACAAGGTCAAATAAACTGTGATTATAGTGTGATAGACATGAAAACTAACATCACTCGTCTATTTAAACAAAATACAATAAAAGAAACCATCTTCTTTGGAGCACTAAAATAGGGAATTCACTAAAAGCTGTACAATAACTTCAAAGTAATCAAGTTTTTGCAACAAGATTTCATGCGATACACAATCAAATGCTTTGGATATGTCACGCTTTGAATAGGTCTATAATTTTAGATATAATTTTCATCTCCTTTCCCAAATACTGGAATTACTTTTACGAGCTTTAATATTGATAGATATACATCTATTCGGACACATTTATTGTATAGTCGAAGTAATCTAATGTGTTAAGCTATCGGCTACCTCAAAGGCTAAAAAACCAGTACAAAGAGATAAAGCGGCTGCCAGCTAGTCCACGTGGACTGAAGAATTGGCGGTTCATATTGGATAATAATATTTATTTTCCGTTAGACACAGATAACATGTATTGAAATTGTCAAAGTACATATAAAGCCATGACACAAAATTTAAAAAAAATAAAATACAGCACAGATACACTTACATATTACGAATTGTAAAATTCTTGCAAATTATAAAAAAAATTCTCAATCAAATAATTCTTCAACAAGTTACTGAATTTATTGAGGTTTGTTATATCTTTCAGACACCTAAGGAGCTTATTGAAAATAGTAAGACCTACCACTGATGGACAATTTAATGTTGTTTTATATTTACAAAACGGAACATGGAGATCACGTTTTTGTCTAGTGTTCACATTATGAATACTTCCATTTGAAGGAAATCTATTCTTGTTTTTAAAAACATAGATTGACAGTTCAAAGATGTGCATACAGGATAGGATTGAAATTCTAAATTTTCGAAATATATCCCTACAAGAAAATGTATTAGGAACTCCTACTACTATACGAATATTTCTTTTCTGTACAATAAACACATCTGCAGTTATAATTACTTAAAATTTTTATTAAATGTTCAAAATGTGGCGTCCTTGAACAAGTACTAATAGTAGTTATGAGTATGATAACAACACAGACTTTCAACTATGTAGTGATTCCAATAGCGCTGGTGAACAATGCGAAAAAGAGAAACCAGTGAATAAGATTCGGATGCATTTGAATATTGAAACAGAGAGTATGTTCTATGAAACTATGCTCTATGAAACAAATCCCGAAGAAATAATAGCAGTTATCAAAAATATCAAAAACAAGAATAGCAAAGGTATAGACGATATTTCTGTTAAAATTTTTGAAAATCTACCTTATTCAACCTTAGTGGGTTTATCACAACTCATAAATCAGTCTTTTGAATCTGGCGAGTTCCCATCGTTTCTGAAGACATCTCTGATAATCCCTTTGTATAAGGGTGGACCCAATGATGACCCTTCCAACTTTCGGCCTATAGCACTTATTCCTACCCTTGCTAAACTCATAGAAAAACTAGTGAAAAGCAGAATTTTATGTTTTTGCAATGATAATATCATCCTTACTTCTCGTCAATTTGGATTCCAAGCAAATAAGGGTACTAATGATGCTATGTTCTCTCTGTTAGAAACGATATACTCCGTATATAACGCTAAAGAAGCAGTCGCTGCTATTTTCTGTGATCTATCGAAAGCTTTCGACTGTGACAACCATGAGATCCTTCTTAATAAGTTGCAACAGTATGGCTTCAGAGGCAACACTCTCCACTGGTTTCATTCGTACTTATCAAATCATAAGAACATGGAAGCTAATATTTTTGAGGAATGGTTTGAAAATACATTGATCCCAAATTTGGATGCGAATAGTGTAATAGTTCTTGACAACGGTTCCTATCATTCCCTGCTATAGTTTATTTTAGTTATGTTCTTGACTTCTGTAAAACTCAATGTTTAACAACACCAATAAATCTCATTCCCATTTCAAGCATGCTAGTGGTCCAACAACCTTTTTATGTTCAAGGGTCTCAAGGATGATTCGTCAACTTGCGTGAGGCAGACATTGATCAGTTTAGATTCCAGTCTAAAATACATTTTAGATTATCAAAATGGAACTTCTGTGATAGCTTTGTTGAATATCTTGCCCATATTATCAAAGAATCCATATTGGTTAGTTAAAGTAAGTCACATGCAAATATTTTTCAGTTATTTTTTCATTCCATTTCTTTCAGGTATCCTTATGTGAGTTGGTTTCAAAAATTGATTACATCAGCGTATATCATGTGACGGAAAATGATGATTTCCAAAACAAAGTGATATACAATATTTTATTTGAACTTCTAGGGGATAGTGATCAGCGAGTCAGGACTTCTGCTGCTCTCAGCATTGTAGGGTAAGTTATTCAAATATTTTTTTCGTCTGTGATAGCTACATTTAGGTGTTTAACTGATGAGTAAAAGATTTATTTATACATGTACTCTCCCAATTTTCTCTTTTAGTTGAAACTAACATAATTTTCAGTATCATTCCACGATTGTATTCCAAGGAATATTTCGTAAACAAACCCCCATCCACATCAAGGGCCACTCTTGAGACGAAACGTCTCACACAAAGTTTCGTAGAAGTCGAAACAGAAACGAATGTCAACAAAAAACACTTCATCAAGCAGATGCCATTTCCATTCAATAAACTCTGCAACAACTTCTGCGACAGGATTGACTTTACTTTATCTAAAATTATTGCTCGGCTATGTAATATGCTCCTCACATCAACAATAAAAAACTTGGTGGTAAGTGAACTTGAAGTCGTATTGGTGGTTTATAATTCAAAATTACACCATTAGTGTCTATATACAGTGCATTTCTTTAATGCTCCCCTCTATTCATTTTTTGAACGGGTCAACTCAAAAATTTGAAATTTGGGACAATGAAATTA